GACAAATAAGTCCCATTTGAAGCCAAGTACGACTGCTCAGTGTACCAATCACGGGCTGAAAGATAATTACAGGGATGAACTCCTACATCTGGAAGAGTGTCATTTTCATGGACACTAGCCAAGTGACCATTGATCGAGGCGGCACGAGAAGACCCGTTCACAAAGCCTGGGGCATTGGTGAACGAGGTCGCCGCGCCACCATATGTGTACGGCATATCTAGCTCGGAATGGTTGGATATGCTGCGAGTCATAAGGTGATCTGGGTGGTCCTGCTGCGAATAAGCTCTCTGGCGGTTTTGGGTAAGCCAAATATGTCCACGTCGACCCTAAATACGGCATGTTAGCAATCTCAGTTTAGAACCGCTGTACCTTGTGTGGGCAAGGTAAAGGACTCACGTCCATGGCGACATCAAAAGATGCTCGACTCCCCCTGGAGGGTTGAGTATTCCAGCATGGAGAAAGATTTGCTGATGGTCGGGGGCCTGGGGAATGCTGATTTTGCGATGCGATATGGCTCTCGTAAAGCTCAACCTGTGCCTTCAATGTGTTCACCTCGTACTGAAGCTCTTTCTCTCTAGCAGTAGACGTGGTCTTGGTCATGGCTTGAGGGACGGGAACTTGTGGTCGAAGAGTAAAACAGTGGCCTCGTTTATGCCTGGCTTTGGAAAAGACCTTGATACAAGGCCAGACAGCGTATAAGGCAGGGTGCAACAAGGGACCAGTCGTAGTCCAGTGATGACGGCCTTGTGGAGCAAGGCCTCACAGCAGAGTCACAAATGAGAAAAGGAGAGATGATTTCTTTGATTTGCAGAGGAACAATACTGCTAACGGTCGGAAAGGGCTAGCAACCGTTCGATGCAGAAGGGTGAGAAAGAAATCCAAGATTGGGGGAGAGGGCACGGCCGGGTTAAGTAAAAGGCAACCAGAGGTCGAGTGGTTCGAACAAGGCGGCGGCGAACTGACAGGGGAGCGAAGGACGACGCAGGATGCGGCTCCTTTCTTCGTCGAGTCGCAGTCGCAGTCTGGCTTGGGGCCATGCGAAGCGCACAAGTGTGCCGGACATACAAGATTGAGTGTGAGTGCGTCGACCGCTCACTCAATCATCGGGACACAGGCCAGGGTTGGGACGGACATGGTCACCGACCGACAAGACTCGACAACGCAGTCTCCCAGTCGCCTGCGTCCCTCTGCTGGGTCGCTGGGCAGTCGTGTGTGTTGGCTTCTAGTGAGGTGTGGGAGCCACGCAGGGGTTCGGTATGTACCAGCACTTGTTGAGTCCAGTGATGCTGGACCCTAGAACCCGACCTTGATATCTCAAGCAGGAAAGGTGAGATATGTACAAGTTGTACGGAGTAGGCAACTCCCAATCCCTCCACAGTGCCCAATATTTAACTCATGACTTCTGGAGTACCCACACCCCTGTCGCTGGACGTTTTTGAGAACTGTAATACTAATGCGCAATCAAGCCTCAGGAGGTTGGCCATGAGCGGAATGCCAATGCCGCAGCCGCCTTCTGGGCTGTTGAGCAAATGCCACACCATAGAATGGCACCTCGGTTGCTAGGTTTCCTTTGCACAGTGGTATTTCGGCAGTATCCTGCAGGTCTGACTGGCTTCATCGGGACAGCTGGAGTGGCTGGCTGGCCTGGTGCAGTCTGTAGTCGAAAGTCGAAGAACTACTGTTCGGTGTCGGCTGTCGACGGATCGACAGTAAACAAGTCCTACCAAGCACAATTGACATGCGTGCGTCCTAGAATAGCACGCTGACATTGGCGCAAAGCGACCAGGGTGAGAAGGGTCAGACGTATCTTGTTTAGTACAGCACCAATAGTGTTGGTTTGGGCTCTGCAATTCCACCCCGCGACATGCTCGTAACAACGCGGCGCCATAACGAGCCTATATCATCCGCAATTCGTAGAGCCAGAGCCTTGTGTTATGCGTTTCTCGGCACGGAGTATTGGCGTCAATACCCCCCGTTGGTTCACCAATGAGTTGATGTATTGTCCAAAAGCCAAATGGACCTGTAGCTGGCAAAGATATGAGATGGACATGGATCTCTTTTTCCTTGTTTTGACGTCGAGAAGCTGTGGAATCAGCGGTCAGCTGATTTTTGACATGTATGTATGCTTTCCTAGCATGATGGCCGTCATTGGGCTTCGTCGGAAACAAAGCATCATCGGCGTGTGGACAACTGCTGTGCCTCGACCATTTGGCAGCTCGGAATGTTGCACAAAGATCTGGAGATTGAAGACTGAAGAATTCTAGAGGCCATGCTCGTCTCTTTCGATTGATTGTCACACGTTTTGGTGCCTTTCGTGCCTAGGGTCTGGTGCCTGCTTCTTTTCCTGAGACCTGCAGTCGCTATTGGCTGCCGAAGGAAGGCACGACCCACAACCCCATCGCCCGATGGATAGTGTGCATCCAGGCAGACTCCAAGGCCGTTTCATCTTCACTTGCAAATGCTGTTTGGGAGCAGAGAGCTGTGCCTTGTGCCACCCACCTCGCATCGATTCCACACCACCAGAATCACTCGCAAACTTCTTACACCATCATATCGGTCTTCTATTCCCGACCATTCCACTTGGTTTTGATGGCATTGGGCACGCCCTTCCATATTTGAGCACACACACCACCCGTGGTTCTCGCACTGTATTGCCTCGCGGTACTGACCGTACCATGGTGCCGTGGGCGTGCTGGTGAAGTAGTGGCAAAGCCTCAGCCGGGGAACCTAGCCGCCGAGCCCGATAATCTGGCTGCCTGGGCATGTGTCCTATCTCGGCCTGGCGAGGATACATACAACACGATGAGGGCTGCAGTGTCGCTGCCAAGACCTGGCCGAAGGCTTATGACCAAATGTTCGGTACCGGATGTGTTATGGGGTCGGAAACCATCGCGTTCATGAGTCAATCTGGATAGGAACCCAGTCTACCATATGTACATGCACACTTGATATGTTAGCAGGGGCATGTCTTCGAATTGGCCAATATCGTCACGTACTTTGCCTTGCTGGATTTGCCGATCTGTTTCGGGAAGAAACCCCTTCGCGAAGAATATATGACATTAAGACCCGAGCGCTAAGGCTCAACCACGCATGTTTTGCACCCGTTGAAAGCCAAGGTGTTATCCATGAATCTCTGGAATCGCATCCCCGGCAAGGGACGCTGTTGTGTCGACACCGAAAGCGCTAGTCGGTTTTCACGCAGTTTCGGTAACATGTGTAGCTTGCAGTGCCACCTCAATCGATAGTACATTGGCTTAAAGGCAAGCCAAATGTCATCAAGGCATGTCGATTGCACAGCGGCCAATCAAGAAACCCGGCTGCTGCGACCAGCACTTGATTCCTTTTTTCGGCGCTCTGCACTGATGAATCGGAACAGACATCAAACTTCACACATGGTCTGATCAAAGGTGGTAGCCACCAAAGCCGTTATGCTGTACTCCAACGCTTCAGCTCCAAAATTCTGGAGCACAGCCCAGTCAGACAAGACAGTTCATGGCCACATTGAGAAACCAAACATTGTCACGGTCGCCGATACATAGCAGTTACTTACTCAAGATCAACTATATTTGCACAGAGGTGTTTCCGTCAAGTAATATAACAACAGGACGGTAACTACTGGCCGCTACTGCCAACTAGATGGATTTGAGCTACGTACTGTGTCTTCCTGCTGGGTTATCGACGGTTCCCATTGACGACCTCTCAGCTATTGCTGGACTGACCTCGCATTTTAGTATGAGAAAACAGAACAAATATTACGACACGGCAACTTGGGGTCCTCGACGCCAAAGGGAGATCAGATGCATCTTGGCAAGCCAGTCATTGGTGAGCATTCAGTTCCAACCCTTGCAACGACGAAAAGTGAGGCGAACAGTCCACAACGTAACTACCTAGGTACTTAAGTAGGTAGTTTGTGTGGTGCATGCGGCAAGTCAAGAGGCGTGACAAAACAAGAAGAGAGAGTCATTGACAATGCATGGATTGCAATAGCACAACCCGATTGCATGGGAGCGACAACTACTAACCTGATATTGATCCATGATCTGTCCCCTGCCTGTGCCTCTGTTTCCCCAGTTTCTTTAAAGCAGCATTTGAACCCGTGTCTTGATCCAATGCTGACTGGCGATGAGACTAGCGATGGGGCGCAGCCCCCGTCCTGCAGGCATGGCTCCAGGATTCATGCCATTCGACACGATTTTGTAAGCTTTCGAATTTGTCCCGCGTCGATGTAGATTCATGAGGCTCTTGAGTTCAAACACTCACTAGTCACAATTGACTCGTCCACCTGACCTCTGCCACTTACGTACCAAACATGACCAGGCACTATCGTGCAGGGGTTTCGATTTTGTTTACCTACCTAGTTAGCTGTTGCTTCCGATATCTATTCCGTCCGTCCCGAAACAAAGAAATACATACATACCCTGCGAGTCTAAGCGTTTTGAAAGCATCTCGTTGCTGGCGCCCATTTGATATGTAGGGTATGTTTGGATATATGGGAACGAACGGGAGTACCGGGTACCCAACTACTGCGCTCTTTGATTTGGAGTTAAATATATTACTGTATAACCTACCAGGTAAGTATGTAGGTACTTAAGTACCTACTAGGGTACAGATACTTCTTAATACGAAAGTATCTTTATTCCTCGGACGGTACTTACTAGCCCAGACGTCAACTGAACTGGGGACGAGCCTAGGATTCAGCGATTTAAATTGAAGACACGACACATTCTGCATTTGACTGATCTCGTTATGACAAGTAGACCTGCATGTGTTTCTATGTTGTACACTGTTTCAAATAGAATGTGTCTTTGGCTGTGACGTACTGTTCCGGGTCCAGGGTATCGCGACCCAACGTTCCAGAACTAGATACCGGCAGATCCTCGGCAACCAACAATGACACCTTGCCATCTTGACATCGGGAGCCATTACACATTCAAGATCCTCTTCCAAAATTACCACTATCTTTCAGCTCTATGTGAGCTTAAGTGACGAGCTGCGGCAAAATGCGCCGGACCAATCTTTTCTTTTTCGCTGGAATCCAGCTTTGTTCTGCGCGATCCGCGAGCTTCAGCATCCACGATGATTTGCTCGCCTATCCCCAGGTAAACTGGTTCCGCAAAACGGCTTCCGTGGAATACACAAAGGGACTACTAACACCCATCTAGTTTGAAGTAGTATTCGCCAGCGATTATATTTCTGAAAAGGATGCACAGGCGCTAGTTAATCGCAATAATCAACAACACCCAACATATTCCGCCGAGTTTTCGAAAACAACCGGAAATCATGCACATGCCACAACGACGACTGATGCGGCTGCTCCAAGTTCCAACGAGTCCGATGAAATCGCGAGCTATTCTTACGAAATATTGAATTTATCACCACATCGATACCTGTGTTCGATACCCGTCATAGAACCACCTGGCCCAGTAAATGAAACGGAGAATGCATTGGCCAAAGTGGAGGAGGAACGAGAACACCAGCGAGCGGCCGTAAAGGGCTGGGAGCTCGTAAGCAAGCTAGAAGGTTCTTGTTTATACTACGTATCTGGATGGTGGAGCTACAGTTTTTGTAACAACCGCGAGATTGTACAATACCACGCCATATCGGTGTCAAGTAACGGCCAGATTCCCAGGCGGGACCCTAACGGCCAAGAGTATATCTTGGGCAGGGTGCCGACACTCCCCGCAACAACCGGGGACCGAAAAAAAAAGAGGCAACAGCGCGGTTTCGACGATCCACCTCGTCCGCCGGCCGAACTACAAGTAAAGGGAGACCAACGCTATCTTGTGCAAAAGCTCGAAGGTGGTACGATTTGCGACCTGACGGGCAAGGACCGAAAAATTGAAGTTCAGTACCAGTGCGTACCGGGCATCAAGACCGACAAGATTGGATGGATCAAAGAGGTGGTTACTTGCTCCTATGTTATGATGATCAACACGCCTCGACTGTGTAGCGATGTCGCCTTTCAGCCACCCGTAGAAAAGATTGCAAACCCCATCAGCTGCAAACTGATTTCTGAAAGCGACGCATCCACATTACTTTTGGATCAGCAGCCGAGAGCTGCACAGCCTGACAATGACGGAACGAAGGAGAACATCAGGCAGAAAGAGACCAACGACGAGGTCAACGAAAAAAAGGACGCCGCACAAGTCACTGTTGGGGGCGTTCTTGTTGGAGGCAAACGAGCCCTCTCTACCGGCGACGACGATGGCAAGCCCCTCAAGCTCCAAGGGCTCGGTCACTTGTTTGCTCCGCAACCCAAGATCCTGCAGATCATCGCCGAGGCGGCCAGTAAAGAAAACGGCGGAAAAGTAAAAGGTCTAACCGAAGAGGAGCTTGAAAAGCTAAACATCGATCCCAAGGCTGTTCAGGAAATGCGCGAGAAACTCAAGAAGCTCGCGGGCGAAAAGGGCTGGAAGATGCAGTTGTTCCAGATGAATGAGGACGACGAAAAGGAGCTTTTCGGCTATGTCGATGATACTGAAGAGGAGGAAGGGGAAGGGAAGCCTGGAGACGGGAAGGTGGACAGCGGCAAGACGAAGAGCGATGGGGACGCTGGGGGAGAGAAAGGGCCGAATCATAAAGAACCGGGGAAGCAGAGGATGAAATCAAGGGAAAAGAAAAAAGACGAGGGAAAAGGGAGCGAGGAGAAGTTTTTCAACCGTGACGAATTGTAATTACACTGAGCGGGTAGTCATCCCGAGCTATATATGATCAAAATAGGCTGGCTTATCAATATTTTTTTCACTGTGCAATGCTTGTTCGTCGATGGAATGACAAAGTAGTTGGCCGATGTATGAACTCTTGTGACAAGGGGAGAACATTGCGATCGACACTAGTTTTAACACCGATGATAGATTACTCTTCATCATAATAGGCCGGGCTGTCTATCATTTGCAGTAATTGGAGACTCGGTGCCACTGGGATAGAAACTGCGGGTTGATAAGCTGCTTGATGAGAGTTAAGCCAGCATTTCCTGATTGTCAAGGCCACAGGAACCATGTTGCCCAAGGTTGATGCAATGTTCGGCGGGTATGCCTGTTGCGTAATGGGCTACCGCAAGGATGGCTTCAGTTTTCCCTCGTGTATTATAACCCCCAAGTTTCGGCTGCCAGGTCTCCTGTAAGTTGGACGAGACTGATCGGCCGGGGAGAAATTGGTTATACCATATTGGGGAGTCTGAACTCAAGCCTTGTTAGCGTATTAAAGTTATAGATCTGTCTAATGATGCTGCTCCGTTTTCTGGAACTGCTGGACTTGACCAGATGTCCCATGCGCCTATGGTGGGTGTATATCCAGCCTCGAAGTTTGCTTGGGCGAAGACGCTCAAAGTTTACAACCCAGACTCCTTCGAATCAATGAATCACTGATATGTCTCTTGACGAACTTGTGATATAAAAGTTGATGGCGAGGGTCTTGGCTCTGTCATCTCCGTTCATAGAGTTTCGAACCACCACACCCAGCCCTCTAGAGTCTCTTCCAATAAACGCAGTTCCAAATGTAAAGGTTTGGAAGCTCAGATTTAAAAGACGGTTATGCTGGCAGAGGGGATCCATTGAACTATGTTGTTCAAGGCGACAAACGCATTTATGAGGTGGCTACCAGACTGCTACTACTATACAGATCGGGACATGATGAAGGATGAATGAAATCATAGCTTTAGGTGTAAAACGTACTTAACGATATCATCCAGGAGCACGTTGAGCGTCAAGAAGATATAGCACAGGACTATATAAAATATAATCAAGTCTTACTGAATATAACGCGACAGTATTTTTTCTTCTTCTTTTTCTTTTTGTAACATGATGCTTAAATGCTGAGAGGATTATTTTAAAAAGGGACTTGGATCCTTTGTTCCAGTTCGGAAGCAAGATGCTTCGTGTGGTAGGGTTGGCAATCAAATGCCCAGGAATGTCACTCGTCGGAGTATGTATGTACTCCGTATGAACCCAGGATATGATCGCGACGGACACCCCATTCCGCTTAATGGTTCCTCTGCAACGATATTGTTCTAATATTAGCAACTCGATAACATGATCTCATTTCGGCAAGTCATATCTTCTCCACACAAATGCAAGCACTTGACGGTCATAACATAAAGGGATAAAGTTCCGTTCGTCACAAGGCCCCACTGGTTGGGCTCCCAAGAGCGACCATGGGGACACAACGGGAGTGGCTTTGGCCGTTCAAGGCGGATACGGGGAGAGAGCGTGGCAATCAATGTGTGATGCAAAAGGTTGAGTCATTAACACTACTGCGATAGCAAGGACGGGCGTTGAAAGCCGGCCTACTATGCGCCATGTGTTCAAATTCAAGGTTCTTGCTGGAGAAAACTACCTCGTCCTGCGTACAAATTGACGGATTCCGATTTCATAACGGAACTAGCGGGGAAGAATCTGACCAGGACAGGCAATGCTACGGAGGGACCTCTGGTTTTGGTGTGGAAATTGACGAATCAGTTGGTTCATCACTTTCAGTTGCAGGAAGTTCTTTGTGTGGTGGGCCCATCATCTTTGCAGAGCAATTTTGAAGCCGGGATCTAGGGACCCCTGCTCCCCGGGACGCTGGAATACAGTTTAATTGGCGTTGAGCCCCAAGGATGGATACAAGAGACCATCGCTGGAAGCCTGAGAATTCAGGGGTGAGGGGCCAGCAGAGAGAGCAACCAAGGCAAATGGATGCTGTAAATAAATGGTGATGAGGACAGTTGAAAAGGCGGTGATGGGCCTAATGGCAGAGCCAAGTGCTTCGTGTCCAGTCGAGGAGATACTTAGCTCAGCGGTGAATATGAATGACCCATCGCGCCATGATGAAATGCAGGATGCGAAAATCTTGGTCTGTCAATTCGAGCTGATGACAGTGCCGTAATCTGACACGTACCCTGGCTGTTGTTGCGGTCAATGCGAATCGAGCTCTAGGATCAAGGCAGGTCAGTTAGCCCATGGGCCAGCATGCTAAGAGGATATTGTAGCAGACGGCGTGAGGGAGGATGGCTACGAAATGCAAATGAAGAAAGAAATACTCCGTACATCTGCATAATACTCCGTAGGGAGTACATCCATAGCCAGTAAGGTCGAGCATTGGAATCTTTCATCCCTTCTATCACATTTTGCTTGCTTTTGACGAGCATGGTGAAGCAGAGCAAACCACTCGGTAATGCGGATGGGAATCTAGAGTTGGGCATATCAGGCATGACATGCTAGCATCAAGAAAGAAAAAAAGAACAAAGAAGGTGAAATGGCGTCGAAGTCGAACTCTGTTGAATGGGGCGCTCGAGCCGTTCCTTGCGCCGTCAAACGAGGCAGCGAAGTTTGCTCATGTCTGGTCCAGGGTCAAAGTGGCAGTGGAGATGGAAATGTGGATGGGTGGGTGGATGTGGGCACCTTTGAAGGCCTTGGACGCTCGACTCTCGACGCTCCACCAGCCTTTAGTCTTCCCAAATGGTTGGCAGTTGGCTGGCAGTTGGCGGATGACAGTCAATAGTCAGGCACCGTCTGATATTAGTATTCAAGGTCGCCACCAACAACTGCCGCATTGTCCAACAAGCCAGGCTGGGCGGACAACAGACACAGAGCATCGACCGGACGCATCCAAGCCATTAATACTCAACCCATCCGCCAATCCGCCCCCGGTGCCTGGCCGGCTCGCAAAGACACCAGACACGACATTGAACAGTTCAACAGGGGGTTTGGGCGCTTCCCGATTCTGATCGTGGTGCTCAGCTTGTCATCTCCCCCCTTACCTGGTTGGCTCCAGTTCATCCTCCTCCTTTGAGCATTCCAATCCCTCTCTCGACTCTTCACTCCGCACTCCGTATACTCCTCCGTAACCTGCATCCGCAGTCTGCGTATTATGTATTCACCTGCCAGCAGACATACCAATCGAAGCCCTTGACCTTGCTCTCCGTCGGCCTGCAACTCTTCTGCCTAGTACCCGACTGCAGCGGCTGTCCCGGTGTTTCTATTCTGGCCATTCGTCGACCTACCAGCTACCAGCTTACTCCGTACCGGTACACCCGCTCGATTGATTTGTTTGAGACAAAACCGACCCGGGCCAACGAGCTGACCCCGATTGCCATTGGGGTTTGCTGCGTTGCCGTGGCCTGCATCTGTGGCTGCGTCGTACTACTTGCGGCATCCAGTCGAGTCGACTCTTTTTCTCTGCCCCCAGTCGACGACTGCGAACCGCACATCTTGCGCACATCAACCACGCGGCAGACTGCAGACACACGCACATTTGCTACACGAGCACGAAACCCCAACCGCGATCCTGGTCCGCGATCCCTCTTTCAGCTGTCATCAAATTATGTTGCGGCGGATGAATTGAACCCACAAGCGCCGTCATACGCTGGCCACCGCCTCAACACCCATTCTCTGGTGCTCCAACAACGCAGCATTCAGCATGCTTGGGTACTTCCGAAAATTGCCACCGCATATGACGATTTAAGCTTTTGTCGACCTTCTAAACCTATACACCTATATCCTGCTCCTACTCTGTACATGTGCATGCTGCAGACAACACAGACAACAGGCCAGCCTTGCTCGAACCCTCTGCAGCGCCTCTCTGCAACTACATTGTGCTATTACCGCCCTTATACTATTACTACGTACATGTTGGACTGAAACTCGATCTACCTAGTCTGGAATCCTGGGTGCTTTGGGAAGCGGGACATCTAATATCTGAATCATATTCGGGTACGAGATTAAACAACTTCCTTTTTTTGTGTGTGTTCCGAAGCTTTATCAACCATGGATGGAGCTCAATCACAAGCACGTCAGCGAGCTCACCCGCGCGCGCCATCGCGTTCCTCAATTCACACAAATACCTCACGTACAACTCCAGTCAGCCCAAATAGCTCGACGTCGCAAATAGCTATCTCGCCTCAGCTTTCCCAATCCCACCCAATGCACCGATATCACCACAGTCGGTGCGGTACGGGTTCGCCCCAACCCATGTCGCGACCGACACCTCCTCTCTCGAGGCAAGAGAGTGTCGAGTCCACTCGACAAATCGCCCTTTCCTCATTCTTGCAGGAAAAGCTACAGAAGGAACGCAGGGCTGAAAGTGAGAAGCTTAATCAGTCACAATCATCTCTGCCCAGATCAAATCCGGACATGAGTGTATCAGCTGATCTCAGGCGAACACCGAGTTCCCCTTTCAAGACAAGCATGGAGGGAAACAGGCCACAATCAAGCGCTGGCACTGATCAGGGCAAGAAGAAAGGTCTGGGTGTCAAGGAAATGGAAAAGGTAGCTGATGTCGAAAATGGCGCTGCATGAGTGGCTTGCTAATTTGGCGTGCATGCATAGGTGATATCAAACTTGCATAAGCAAAATTTCGACTTGAAACTCGAGCTTTACCACAGGCGCGAGAGGCAGACTACACTAGAGGAGCGCGTCGACGCTATGGAAAGCGATAGACAGCGCATGGAGGAAGTCAACGACAAATTACTGATTGAGCTAGAGAAGCGTGACAAAGCTGTCGAGGAGGCGGTTGCGATGATTGTCACTTTGGAGGCAAAAGTGGACCAGTTGTTTCGTGAGCGAGCTATGGTGCACCGAATTGAGAATGAAGGCTTCTTTTGCCCCCGCGATTATGACAACATGGGCTACAAGACTCCTGTCCCCCATAGTACAGGGCCAGACACTATGAGGATGGAAGAGGATGCCAAGGTTGTCAATCGCATGCCCAGCTTCTTGTCTGACCATAGTGAGACGACGCAAAATCTTCGCAACGTGTATCTGGGGACCCAAGCTAGCATGCTGAGTTTGACGAGGGTGACTGAAGGCTCTCCGGAAACTGATAATGTGCAAGCATTGGGGAGCCCGACCCTCAGTGTGCTGAGCGAGAGCTCTTTTGTGAGTGTTTATGGCCGAAAGGACAAGGTCATGGACGCCAGCCAGATCGCTGCTGATGTTGATGAGACTTTGGTTCTAGATGGCGCGGACTCAAGTTATACCAAGGAAAGGAATGGCAAGCAACCATCGCGCAACCACTGTCGATCGGTGTCATCGAGTAAGACAGCAGACTCCCGAGCTAGTTCTACAGGACACTTCCAATCCATTACAGATGTTATCGCCGGCTCACCTCTGCAACGCCTGGAACAACTCGACACGTCGTATGGACCTAATAGGGAATCAGGCCATCACCCTCGAAGTCAAATAAAAGATTATTCAAAAGGCCAGCTGCTGCCTGACAAGAAACCATTTGGTCTTGGAAGTATTAAGCAAGATAAACACGATGCTCTGCGTAGAGTAACAACTGACGGACAAGGCGGCGTACGACTGCATGATCAAGCGCTCCCTCCCACGCCGGATACGACGTCGAGCTCGATGCTCCGCAGGTTCAAGGACTCCAATGACACACTCTCACAACAGGACCTGAACGAAGAGAACAGCAATGGAGTTGTATTAAATCACCTTGGTTCTCAAGGCGGCAGCCAGCACAATCATCAGTTGGCAGCAGTACCGAACGAGCTCCCCGAAGAAGCAGACAGTTGGGCTTCGCCTAGTAAACGAGCTATTGACTTGCTTTTCGAACACCGAGGGCCTCCTATTCCTCGCCCACGATCTGCAGACGAATCCACTGCATCTCATAGGAGAGGCAAAGGCTGGGATAGCGACGATGACGATTCGGATGCACACTCGCTTCAATCGAGTCTTGATATCTGGATGCGCGAGAGCGCACAACCTTCGAGAAATAGAAGCCGTGCATCGCCAGATCTATTTAGTTTCCCGACGGGCTCATCGAAGGGAGGCTGGGCAATGTCATCCACTTTCAAACAAAACAGTGAACTGGCTGAAAATGCGCCACTGCCCCCAGGATTTGACTATATGCGCGATCTTTTCTCTGTGAGACAAGGCCTTTTTGCCGGTACTGCACCACCACCACCCAATAGAAGGTCTAGCCTACATGCACAAACTGGGTCAACACCAGAACCAGCGACATCACAAGGGGCAAATAATCAAGGGGTTGATCAGGGTCCTCCTTCGACCGCACGTCGTCGAAGCTGCCACAGCAGGCAGAATAGCGTAGACTTGGGAAAGAGAGATGATATGAGAACACCGGTTCAGAGAGACCAATTTGCATCGCCGCCTCAACCTAATAGCGACCAGAAACCGAAGCATTATCCTCCAATTGCGGGACAGCAGCATGGAGCTCGAACTGGCCTCAACAGACTTTTCCGACGATCTACCAGTGCTGCCCCTCCTGGACCAAGCTCTGAACAATCCAACCCTGTGGAAACAGCCGTCTCTGAACAATCCAAGAGCTTTCCTACTATAGGCATCCCATCGTGGGCAAGTCGACATTCCGCGGTGGACGACGACAGGTCGGGGGCTACTCCGCCACCGATTATGCTCAACCCTCGTCAAGGTCGGCGGCACACATTGGGGGCAGAAGGGGAGACAGAGAAGTCACCAGCACAGGATCTCAGCCGCAGCATGACGCCTGGTCCAACGCTTGCGGCCGCCGCCACAGCCAGTGCTCCATCGACCGATATAGAAAACAGTCCAGCAGCGGCGGCGGCGGCGTCGTCGTCTTCGGGTCGAAGGAGATGGTTGCCTGGCTTTGCACGCACAAATAACTTGAAGAACAAGGCAGGTTAGAGACTGTGCCGACTTTGCGGTGCGAGGCTGTAAGGGCAGCTTCCGTGTAACAACAACATTCATAGCGAGGCAGCATGGGACAAACACTTGTAATAAAGAGGACTGCATTATATCTAGGCATTGAGAATGGTTTGTTTGGATTGGGAATCAAGGTTGGTCTGGATACTGCATTTGTTATGGAAAGTATCGGCGTTTGTCAAGTACCGTGCAGGGTTCTGACACGATAGGATGAGAAACAAGCAATAAAGAATATCTCAAACTTGATCACAGGTTCATTCTTGATGTACGGAGTACTTTGGTCATGCTAGAGCTGTCACACTACATATTTCACAGGAGTGCCCTGATCCTCGGCATCACACAGGCTGTTTGTCCATGCGTGGCATGCACAATGTCTTCAAACCAAAACCTCGATCCAGGTTCCAACCACCAGCCATAACCAAATCCGCCCACCTTTTCTCGTATGTATTTCCTATCAAATCGAGTCCCACTGCGCCCGAGCTCTTCCAATCCCAGTGTCACCGATGACCTTTTGGAAAGCCGCAGGCGCCAGGCCCAGGTCGTTAGGTCGGCAGCTCATGCATTTGGGATCGCGCGATGTGCGTGGCTTTGACGACTGGCGACTTGAAGGAAAGGGATAAAGATGTATGTGGAGGCTTTGGGCGGATTCTTCTATTTCTCCCAGAGATGCATTATCGCACCAAAAAATAGGTGCAGCCACGCCACTTGTATTGATGCGTTGGTACCCCCTATAAAATAGCCTTGCGACATGCATCATCTATAGTCGTCGAGTGGAAGTGGAGTCTGGATACACCGACCGAGATGGGATGGTTTCCGCCCGACTACAGAAACAAGCTCGTCTGTGAATCACGACTTGTACTACAAACACCAAGCTAGAACTGGCAAATCTGGTCCTTTCTATACCCCAATTCCTGCAATATCCCACGTCTCCTCCCGTCGCCGACCAAGGCCTTCTCCATGCTCGGCGGCCCGCAAACAAACACCATCGTCTCGCTTCCTGCCGGCGAGGGCGTCACCTCTCTCAACAGGTCCTTGGTCACATAGCCCTTCCTGTACGGCGATCCCTCAACAGGGTTGCTCACCGTGTATACGGCCTTGAACCTCCCGGGGAACTTCTTCTCCCAGTCCTGGAACTCCTCCTTGAGCAGGACATCCCGGTCGCTGTTGACGCCAAAAACCAGAGTCACGGCCGTCTTGTCCTGGGGGTTGCGCAGAATGGCCTGCGTCAACTGGTAGATGGGCGTGATTCCGGCCCCGCCAGCAATGAGAGTGACGTGCGGGAAGGAGTCGGCTTTCCACCGGTGGCCCTTGAGGGAGGCGACGAAGAAGAGGGACTGGCCCGGCTGAAGCTTGTGCAGATGGGTGCTGGATTTGCCGTCGGGGTAGTGCTTGACCATGAGGTCCAGGTGCCCTTGCTCATCTTGTCACGTTCACGTCAGAACTGGGTCAACCTTGGGAATAGATATGCAGCTCGCTCCAAGTATTACATACCGGTTGCGCTGATGGGGGTATACGGCCGTATGACTGGAAACCATCTCCCTTCCGGCCACGACAGGGCCAATACCGACGCTGTGCTATCGTCAGCACTTGTTGCGAGATTCATGTTTGAAGAGGGGAGGCTGCTGTTTTATGGACTCACAGTTTACGGGTAATCCGCTGACAGCCTCCTTGTCGGCAAACTTGAACCTCAGCAGCCGCGTGTTGTGGTTGACCATGTCCGCGCTCTCCAGCGGCAGCGAGAAGAACGCCGGTCCGCTTCCAAAGACCTTTGGCGGCGAGGCTCGCGAGTCGGCGCGAGTATCTTGGATGAGGAACTTGGTGGTGATGCCGGCGGCAAGCGATGCGGCAGCGATGGTGCTCAGAATGGCTGCGGGCCGCGAGCGACTGAGGATCCGCGTTGTCATTTTTTTTTCCCTTTATTTTATTCGGACGGCCCTTGGCATTGCGAAACAGGAAGGCGATTCTGCGTAGGGCTGACCGTCCTTATATAGATGGCACGGGGTTGGGACGGAAGACATGCCGAGACGGCGTGGCATTGTCCATCTACAGCTAGGGGGTCAATGGCTTTGCACGAATTTTGCATCTCGGAACAGACGCCGTCTAACGGGCTTGATTTAGGTTTAGGCGGCGGTAATCATCGTTCCACTTGCATGGTTTCGCCGCCTCGTGTCGGCGGGCTGACCTGACCCTTCGGACATGAAAGAGTCTGCGACGGGCCCGAAGCGCTGAGTTGTCGCCGAGAGTGCGAAATGATCCCGGAACCCTCAACCACAGGGCAAATTTGGTACTTGCGATTGATTCAAGTTTCTGGAATCCGTAGGCGGCAGTGGATTTGTGCGGAATCCCTGGCAATCAAGTATAGGGCGTACAGGGATCCTATTTCCATTGACAACAACTAACTAACTTGGGTTTGAAGAATGTTTTATTCATCAAACATTTTTTCTGTACACGTGTATTTGTAGCCATCTCTGTGCATCTATCGTCCTAGACCCTCCCGCTTTACATCAAGCATTGCATCATGTCATCATAAACGTTGGTCAAACGGCCCAGTTAGCAACTTTGATTCTCCACATCACTCTGCAAAATCGTCCCATTGAGGAACTCGGTCCCCTTCTTCAGGACCTGGGCACGACCAGGATGCAGTGTCGGCGCAGGATCATCATCAACTGTGCCGTTGGCATAGATGATGCCATTCCATGCCGAGGCCACCTGGCCAGCGTCCAGAGCATTCACGGCCGAGTTGGCTCCGGGAAGAAGAGGTGACCGTTTCTGGTTGATGTCGCAGTTTTCGCTAATCATGTACAAGTTCATGCCAATCGCGAAAGTGTACATCTCAGCACTGAGTTGCTCCCAACTCCACTGGTCCGCGACCACCACGCCTATGTAGTCGACCAATACCGCAGTTGGCCAGGACTCTGGGCTCATGTTGTTGACGCCCATCCAGTAGAGGGCGGGATTGGTAGGAAGGATGCCGATGTTCTGAATGCTCAGGGCGGTGGTGGTGATGGCATCCGCGCTGACCAGCCACTGGCCGATGAGAAACTGGTCATTTTTGAAGTCGCCGCTTCTGCCGACTGTCTTCCAGCTGGCCACTTGGTCATTTGCCATCTTCTCAGTGTCAGGCAAGTTGGACCAGTGGTCCCAGACGTCCATCATGGAGTTTCTGTAAATACCATCCGGGACGGAGTCTTGAGGCACATCTGGTTTCAAGTTGCCGTTCAAAAGAAAAAGAACACAGCCCTTGCCGCCATTTTGGTCCATAAAATAGGACGCCTTTTGTTTGTTGAACTTGGTGTTGAGATCAAGATGTCCACATCGGTTGTTAATACCCTTCAACTTGCTAAAAAAGTTGTTGACAATGTCAGCGCTCCAGTAGATTGGGCCTGCAGTGGGTATATCGAGGATGCCGTTCAAGTATCGAACACGAAAAAATATGACTTCGCCGGGGTTTTCGGCAGTGAACTGGTTGACCTCCTTGACAACGTCATCGAGAGACTCCCCCGTGTTGCCAATAACTACTTTGGCCAGCTCATCATTGACGTGCATAGTCCAAAAGCTGTACGAGTCCTGATTAGCCACCTTGTGAACACTGCCAACACGAAGATCGAACAACCTGGCGCCGGCGCGTAGTTGATTGTAAATGTTCAGGCCTTGCGTCTGCGTGTTGGCTTCAGTACCAATGGAGCCAATTTTGCCGCTGATCCTGCTCATTCCTGAATCGTGTGTGGCAGGCATCACAATGTGCTGCATCTGTCTGTCTTTGATAACATCATATAGTCCCTTCATCCAGTTGCCCCGGCCATGTCGAAGAGAAGCGGTAAATCCATAGGAATCACTTCCAGTGATAACCAAGGTAACTGCCGTTTCTTTACCGGGGTCCAAATACTCACGTTGACCGAGACCCATACCAGACAAGTCAATAATGGTTCGGCGAGGGTACGAGTCTGGGATATGAGTTCTAGCCCGAATCTCGAACCTCTTGTTTGTTCCTTGAATGGTGTAGGAGGCTTCGCCACCGTCGTCTACTGGGTTCTTGCCAACGTTCTTCGTGTATTCTGCCGTATTTTGACGGGCACGACCTTGGGGGACATCGTCCCAATCAAAAGTGTCCATCTGATACGAGTGCGTGCGGCTTCGATCAAGGACGAATCGGTGGGGGGTAAGATTGACAATGGTGATGTATTGTTTCGCCGGAAACCCAATTTCACGGAGGGGAATCAGTGCCCAGGGCATGTGGCTCCCAGCCTTTGACACCTCCGAGCTATACGTCCTGTCCTCTTTTTGGCATGCATCTTGTACAGCTCTATTGCATTTCGCAAGTTGCCGTGGAGCTGGTGTAGCTGTTGTGGTTTGAGCCAACAAGAGAAAGGACACAAGACCAGCCACAAAGAAAAGCAACAATCGACTTTGCGCCATTCTTGCAAAGGTCTGGTCAATCCAAATGGAGGAATATAAGGGGGGAAAACGTTGCAATCTCGCCTGGGTCACAACTACGAAGAAGCATATTTCTAGTTCAGAGCCACGAGAATCACAGGGACCTCAAATTGTAATATACTTTTCCTCATCCCCCCCAAGATTACCTTTGCTGCTGCCCATGCGCGTGTTCAGGCGGTGTTCTTGCCATGCAACCCGTCTGAGCTCAGATGATGCGTCTGCTAGCCTCGTGAGCTGGAGACTCCAAGGCGGCAAATTGGCCTTTAAGTCGTGCCCGCCGTGGGCTCAACGCGCCGTAGCGTGGAGGCGACATTGAACTTTGCGAAATAGGGAAGCTGAGATTACTTTTCAGCAATCTTACTGGCCAAGCGGTCAACGGGGTGGCTGATCCATGGACGAACGACTCAGGAACATGGAAGATGGATTGGGCGGAGGCCGTCTATCGACTAATCCCGGAGCGGGGCAGTGGCCGAATGAGCGTCAGGAGTGTCAGGGAGTCAGGGAGCATCTCCACGATTCTGGACGATGATACCCCTTGGCAGGCGGCCGGCCACACCAAGTCACGCAGGGGTCTGCCTCCCATCAGAAGGCAATATCAGCTGGCGATGGAAATGTTGCCTTAGACGGATCCCGCCCATCCCTAACTTTGGATTGTAATGTACCATTGATGCACCAGAGTTCCAGACTAGTGCTTTGGTGATCAACAGACCCGGAAGAGTGAGCAAGTTGGCCAAGCGGGGAAATCGAGGGTGTGCATGCCTTAGAGGATTCCATGCGGTGAACTGTGATCGGATGGTCGGCTCTAGTGTCCGGCTGATTAGCAAGGGATGCTGCAGATCTGGTACGAAGCTTTTCGGTCATTTCCATGCTGTAATGGACTTGACGAGAGGACTCGCAAGGTCGGATAGCCGTATATCGAGCATGGCGAGTTTGCATACCTAGATACCTAGGTAGTTAGTTGCATATTGATGTTGTGTCGTGCGGGGGGTGAAGACGAGAGATGCCACTGTTGGTTGTCTGCCCATGTTGCATGTGGTTGGACTGGGACAACCAAACACGTGCGGACCAGGCCGGTGGGTGTTGGCATGGACCAGCTGCACATGTGACTACTACCCAGCATTCGGTTGTTTGGAGCCCGCAGCTATCACACGCATACCCTGTCGCAAATCAGTCAGACAATGAAGACGACGACACAGACGAAAGTACGAAAGCTCAGAAGGGAAGTGGAAAAAAAAAAGCCTGCAAGACATTATTTACGATGAGAGAAAGAGATTACTCGTCGATAACCGTGCTATACTGGTGTTGCTTGAAGTTGCAAATTCTGACCCCATTCTTGGAGGAAGGAGTGCCCTTTGCACTGATTCAAAGGCTCTTGGCCTCCACGTTGCATATTGATGCATTCTGGAATTTGAGGAAGGCACAGCTCGCTTCCAGGTAATGGTAACACCAGTGCTTTATTCGGTTTCTACTTTCCTTCTGCCGAACGGTCGAGGCATTGTGGTTATTCATCACTCTAGTAAAGAAATGGTTCAATGAAGTCTTTATTCCTACTTTCTCCTTACATAATAGGCAATGTTGTTCAAAATGACACTGAACACCTAGATTGCTTCAAGCTAATGCATCACAGGTTCGAAGGATGTCATGACAATTCGGCTGACTACACCCTTAGTCGTGCCGTGTCATTCATGATCAATAATCCGGTGCGCGCTATCTACAACGAAAGAAGATAGACGAAAAGCTCATCCTTTCTGAGAAAGATTCTGGCAGCTCGCGTAAGGGTCTTCGAAGACCTAGATGCATTACCTCACTGTGGCTTTGCCTACCGACGTTCAACATCATCTTCCACGGCCATGGCCGAGAGCAGATGCGCAACCAAAGTAAGGAATATGACAGGATGAGGAGTCCGTCTTTGGAAGACAATATCTAAATCAACAGTTGTTTTAAATGAGGGGGTGATAATGCGGCCGGCTATTGGTACGTCAAAACTCATCAATTGCATCTAGATACTGAATACGAGGCGGACAGGCGAACACAACCGTGTAATTAGAGTAGCCACCAACATGCATTCATCCAGCCCTCATTACGCTCTCGCCCGCCTCCTTACCTTGGCTCCCTCCATGGCCATTTCCCAGTCCCCAGCAATAAGGCCTAATCGGATTGATCTGATAAGAATGCAGTTTGACCGTACAGCCCCATTTTCTCTATCAACTTTTCTTCACTTGTCCTCCTCAACCTTCTTGCAAGTCCATCAGCAAGAACAAGCTAAATACCCGAGATTGGAATCCACAATACGACCGTTCCGGCATCCCCTCACGATTTGATTGATTGATCTCTTTTGGACTTCATCATTGGAGCCGGATCTAAGCCCCACCGTTGTCGGTTGATGATTTTCAGCATCTCGCATTAGAGCTTTCATCCATGGTTTCCCGAGTAGTCTATAATACGGCAGTTGATCGTGAAATTTCCCTTTCCTTCACAGCATGACTTGAAGGGGAGCAGCTACTTTGACTTGAGCTTCGACAATTGGAGCTGCCTCACTAATTGCTATTCGTCGTTCAATCAACAGCCGCGCGCCCATTATTCCAACTTCATTACATCATTCTTCTAGCTGCAAGTCTGAGGACAGAACTAGATTGGGAAACACTCCATGATCTCTCGGCCGAGAGCCAGCCACTCCGTCTACAACCCTGTGTCACTATCCAGCTGTCAAACGCACGCCCTCGCCGTGTTACCATTGGATCATGCTTCCGTCTCGTGTCTCGCAGGATTAACCCCTGCACCTGCATGTAGGCGATGCTGAAAGCTTAAAACTAGATGTGACAGGGCCAGTTCGGAGCCGGTGTCGGTTCGGTTCGGATTATATCAGAAAACACCACGAAACACTTGTCTTAATCCCACTAGCTTCGTCGATTCAAAGTGGGATGCTACCGTCCGTAATGGGGCCCATAGGTTTCCCTCCTCTACGTGGTATAGGTGCCGAAATATACTCATTACTAATGTATGTGTATTACTAAGGACGTTACTACGCATCTTGTGGATGAAGGATTTTTTTGCCCCCAGGAATTAGACAACATTCCAACCTCGACAATGCACCACGAGACCTGTCTCGGGTATCTACACCAACCCTCAATTACCCATGCTGTGGTAGGATAGGACACTAGGCCCGGACTCCATCGTGGACCCTACTTGCAGTACTTCATCATACTAAGCCTAGGCTGCCAAGCGGTAAATTATTGCAAAGATGCATGACTTGGCTTGCCGCGGAGGCCTGTCTTAAAAGAGCACCCTATCTTTTGGCGGCCAGCCTCGCAAACACCAGAACCATGGTCCTCATGGCTCTGTCTAAACAAATGCATTCCATGTCTTGTCACGAGGCGGACACCTGCTGGCCACTGACCGGGCCTACTTGTGCGACTGTCTATCCACGTGGGACAGCACCGCGCCACATCAAAACCCAACGATGAAGGATGACACAAAGATAGAATTAAAGCACGCATCCGGTATGTCGTCTTGATACTCGAAACGCGACAGTCTCTTGTTTGTGGGATTCTTCTTCTCTGACGACCTGCGGATATCCGTAGCACCAGACTGGGATTGGATACGCTCACAGGAAGTCCTATCAACTAGGCGGGTATAATAGAGCCAACTCCGGTCGGGACCAATAAAGCCTCAATTATTAATCCGAGGTTAAGCAATGGGGTAAGGCTGTGCGCCTGGTTTGCTGGATTCTTTGGATACGAATTCTTCAGCACGGATACGACGCTGTGTTCTCACTTGGTGTGTGGTTTGGAAGTCATGAGTATGTCTTCGCATGCGAGCTTCTAAGAGACACAACCACAGGAGCTTATGCTCAACGCGCTGCAGTCGTGCCGGCATATGGGGGAAGTCTGCTTGTAACGCTTTTGCGCTGGTGGATAACTTGGCTCGTATCACATGGCAGGCTCAGGGGTAGGAATCTACCAGCACACACGTATTTTTCTTGCGAATGATGGGTTGTGAACACATGAACAAGTATTACTGGCAAATCACGCGGTACAAGTCTCGTATTTACGGCAATGTATTAGGTGATATCATATTCGAAAAAAGCAAAACCTTCAAGTTATGATGCCTCCTCTGGCATTGCCCATGCTTCCACGAGATCTGCCAAGGCGTCCTCATTGCCGACATTTCCAGGGAAAACGACAAACGGGACGCCCCGATGTCGGCTTGTTTCCTCATCGCATCGCCATAGTGGCACGCCAGGAGCTGCTTGGCCCAAAACCCTGGCGCGCTTCATTTTGAGGCCTTTTGTGGCAGTGTCAGATGAAGTAATGCCACCCTTGGCGATAATGTACCTCGGGTGGACGTCAACCAGCCCCAGCAATTGCACGAGAGCATTGGCAACTTTAGACCCAATGTTCAAAGAACTAAGGCCATCATGGCCTTTTATGAGCGCTCTTGATGTCATGACGAGAACGTCGTGTCCGGCGTAAAGCTTCATGGAGACAGCCTGCGCTGCTGCCCTGACGATGCTCTCGGCAGCATCTTCCGAGGCAATCAAGTCTGGCACCTTGAGTTCCACCACCTGCAGCTTAGCTTTGAGCCGTTGTGTCAGGGCTTCCAACTGCACTGTCGTCTTTGGGACATATGATCCGGCAATGACCAGTCCGCCGGGACGTCTTTCGCCAGCACCCGAAAACACCCCCAGGTCTTTCATGGTGAGTGGCGGGATGCCCTTGATGCCAAGTCTCGACGAGACAAAGGCCGCCCCTGTTCGGTAGAGATATCGCCTGCCCCCTTTCTCCGCCTCCAAGAGGCCGGCGACGAATACATGCATATCTGACTCGGCGACGGCATTCACAATGATGACTCTGTTGGAGTCCGGGCCCACAGAGAGCAGCTTCTCCGTCACGGCTTTGGGCCCCCCCTCTCGGATGTCTTGCAAGGTGATGCTGAGGAAGGAATCATTGTTGAAGCGCGGGCCGCACTTTTCGAGAATGTATTGCCGCAAATTGGAGTTTTGATATCCAAAAGTAGCATCGGCAGCAAACTGCGTCTGGCTGGCGGGCACCAGGGTATCCCCTTCTTTCACGTAGTGCACGTCATCAATAGTGTATCTGCCGCCCTGGGCGAAAAATGGAGAAATTATCCAGCCGTCAAACGCACCAAGGGCGGCCTCTGCTGCCTCGGGCTCCTCGGGAAGATGGCCTCGCAAGGTGGAGTCCCCTCGAAGGACGATTTCGAAGGCCTTGCCGGCTCTTTTCGCTGCTTGTGCCACGTTTGCGCAGATTTCTTGGATCAACTCGCGAGCTGCTGCGGATGGGAGTGCTCGCGAGTTGGTCAAGATGAAGAAACCGCGGGGGTCAAGACGGAACTCGGAATCCAGCGTCTCCGAATCCCACACGGTCAAGACGTCAATATCGTGACAAGTCTGCGTGCCTGTGGGGTCATCGTCCAATATTACCAGCGTAGGAACTTGATCGCTGCCCACCACCCCCTGGATGGAACTGAGGACGTCGTGGGGGTATTCGGGCGGCAGTGATGCAAGAGTAGGAGCAGCAGGGAGGCGCTGTGGCCCTTTGCGGTTGTCAGAACCGGGGTTCATGATGGACGTCCTCTTGGCTTGGTCTTCAACACCCTGGCTGTTCGGCTTGTCCAATTTCTCGTCGGCCTTGCTCTTGACTGATGGCCCTAGCATTTCCCACAGCCTTACTACGCCCGAGTCGGATTCATTTGTCCAGCCGTGGCCTGCGCCGGCCAGATACAAGGTGTGTGCGGCAGAGGAGATGGGCGCATAGTAGTTCAACCGCGCGGCTTCATCAAGAACTATCCCGAGATCTTTGACGAAAATGGCTAAAGCGGAATGCGGGGTCCAATCACCGTTCAACATCTGGGGAACTCTATTTTCAAACATCCAACTCCACGCCGAGGACGCCTTGAAAATGTCAAATACTATTTGGGTGTCAAGATCAAGACGAGCAGCAAACGCCATGGCTTCAGCAGCCGCAGCAATGTGGACTCCTGCGAGCAGCTGGTTGATGAGCTTCACCGATGAGGCCATACCAATGCCGCCCTCGACCTGGCATAAATTCTTCTCTCCCCCCGTCATGGCCAGGAGGACCCCTCGAGCTTTGGAAATGCCCTCATTCTCCCCAGAGCAGATAATCTAATCATGGTCCGTCAGCAAAAATGGCATGGGTGTTTCATGGGCAACAAAGTGTGGAGGGGGAAAAGCTCACCGTCAAGGTGCCGTTGGCAGCCCGAGCTACACCTCCACTGACCGGGGCATCCACCAACAGAACGCCTTTGCCCATCTCCTTCAGTCTCAAATTGACATTCCGGACATGTTCTGGTGGAACCGTTGAGCTGACAATGACCACCGAACCGCTGGACAAAGCAGCCGCGCCTCGGCAGCTTCCGAAGAGCACGTCGTCAATCTGGCTCGCATTTTGCACCATCAGCAGGACCGCGTCCGATCCACTAATTGCTTCTCCCGGGGAACCTGCTGACATGGCACCTGGGCCCAGGCTGGCGAATGCCTCTACTGCAGGAGAGTGAACATCGTAGCCCTGGACGACAAAGCCGGCCCGGATCAACGACGCGGCCATGCCTTGGCCCATGGCCCCCAGGCCAACGAAGCCTATCTTGGAAACGTCACCAGCCCTGCAGCACGGAGCATGCGACGACGTATTCACGCTGCGTTGGCCGGCCTTGTCCTTGACGAGGTCGGGACATTCGGGCAAGTAGGCACGAACCAGTGCGCCGTCGCCATCATTGCCAAGGCCTTGCGATACACCGGATATGAATAACTGCTCTACGGTGGCAGTCAGGGGCAAGGGAAAATGAAGTTTTCGCGCCGTTGAAATGGCAGATTTCTAATATACTCAGGACTGTCAGAAGTGGACTTTTGCTGTAGGACAAGGGAGAGACTCAGCGATAATATCATACAAGGCTGTCGAGGGTTCGCTGCCAAGTGCTAGCTTGAGACTTCCAATCTCCCGACAGCATGTGCGGAACACGCGACTCAAACGCCGATGAAGTTCCAGCTGCGTTGCTTATGATATCAAAGGTAACCTGCGTATTCTGTCCAGCCTTGGCCGCCAATCCCATGGCCTCGGCCGCTGCAGCCGCATGCAAGCCGGTCAAGAGTTGGTTAACCATTTCCACTTTGGAGGCCTGGCCAAGCCCTCCGGGGATCGGCCATATCTGGACCGGAATACCGCGAAGCGTTTCATTTGCTTCTGCAAGAGCCCCGGCGGGTCCTGACAGAACAAGGACGTTGCGCCCGTGGTGATTACCATGTGATGACTTGGCGAGACAGGCGGCATCTAAAAGCGAGACGTCAGGCCTGCCCTCGTCTGCTATTCTTCGGAGCAGGTACGGATAGTACGACGGCGGGCTGCTGGGGGAAAGCAGGACAATGGAATGTTTTGGAAGTGCTGTTGGCAAAGCGGTTAATCATTCGGATTCATCGTGGTTGTCGCATGCTTGTAGTGAGAGCAGTTGGCTGCACCGCACCAACCACATCATCATCATGTAAGTGGCCCATACCTGGTAATATGCCGCTCTGCGAGCAAAACAGATGGCTCTCTAGCTCCTTGATATCGGACGTTGCGCACACAATGGTTTGGCAGTGCCTTGCCACCTTGACGAGACTGTCTTTTGTGATGGCGCCCAGCTCTGCCAGCCTCGGCACCAGGTCAGAGGCATCATCGTAGACATGAACCCGTAACTCGGGCTTGGACACGGCACCCATGAGCAGCGGCAAACTCCAGCCACGAGCACCAAGAAAGCCAATGTTGGCAGGAGAGACAGGCTCCGGGCCGTCATCAGGCTTGCTGGCTGTCAATGGCATCATCTGGCCGGCTTGCGTCCTCGTCTCGCCCACTTGCACTTGTTTGCCGTTTCGCGACACGAAGAAGTTGTGCGGCCTGTAGTGTATTGTATGCATTGTAACAATTAAAATAACCCCTATCTAATCGATGATGGGGAAACTTGTATTAAAACACCACACATCCCCATTATCAACACCCTCGAATGCTTGGGACCCCCCTTTGTGAGACTTTTGGCCCGGGGCTCCGACCGAGATTCAACTCGAGTCTGCTCTTGTCTCGCCATGCCATCGCCCACCCATCCCCGCAGATTCTGGCTCGTCTGCGTAGTGCGTCGAGCGACGGGCAGAAGCCCGCCGGGTCCCAATTGCTCCAATTCCGCACGACATCAGGCCAGAACGCTGCCGGGCCGTGGCCGCGTGGCGCCCGGGACCAGGTTGGCACCGGGTTGCTAACCGCGACTGGCGGGGAGCACGTGCACGGCCGCATGCGCGGGGGGCGGACCCGAGTGCTGGGGCCAGAGACGGGACTCGGCCACGATGCAAAGAGTTTTCGCACCTCGCGTCGGCCTTTGTCCCGCCCCCTCTTATCGATCGTCCAGGGTTTTCTCTGCTAAAAGAGACAGCTCCGTCCGACCCAGTCTTGCACGCGGACTTCGTTCCACGACGTTGATCGCATCATGAAGCGGGCAAGGTTCGATTCATCCCAAGTCAGTCCGCCCAGCGAGTCGGCCGAACATCAGCCGAAGGTCTCACGGAAGATTCGAGCATGTAAGAATTGTTTATTTTTATTTTTTTGTTTTTTCTTATTGGCTGTATTGTAACGTGCCAATATTTATGGCTCCCTGTCACGGCCATGGCCCTGGCGTTGATAAGAACATGGCTCGCGTCAAGTGAGATTGACGTTGGCTGCAGGCGAAACGAAACGTTGCTTCATTTCAATGTTCCTCCGTCAACTAGTGCCTGCGCTAACTCCGCAAACCAGGTCAAGCATGCCAGAACCGCAAAATCAAATGCGATTTGGAGCCTGGGCAAGAGCAGTGCGCGCGCTGCGCCAGGCTTGGCCTGAAGTGCGTCGTGAACAAGAGCCTGCAGACGCTGTTGGACAGCGAAAACGAGTGGAAGAACAACATTGAGGCGCAGATGCAGAGCCTCCAGGCGGCCCTGTCCGAGGTGCAAAGGGCGTTGAGCATGCATGTCAACGTGCATGTGCCGCGTCCGACGCCAGCTCAACTGCCGGGCTTGCAGGCGAGTGCGAGTGCCAATAATGCACATGCACATGGCTTTCGAGGCGGTGGCCATGGCCATGGCCATAGCCATAGCCATAGCCATAGCCATGGGCCGTCAATGCCTGTGCAGCCGCCACCCCAGACTCATGTCGACGCGCCGGCGCCGGTGCCTGTGCCCATTCGACCGACCGGCATGACCAGGGAGAACTCTGTCGAGCCAGAAGCACCCGAGGCCGACGACCAGGCCATGGTGAACGCGCCCATGGCAAGCCTCTACGAGGTCACCAAGCTGCGCAATGTCCGCAGCGACCCGTGGGCCCGGATGCATCGTCCCTCAAGTCCGTCGCAAAAGCCCGACTTTATATCCCAAGGAAAGTTCGACCTCCAGGAAGCAGAGCGGCTCTTTGCCAGGTTTCGGGAAACACTGAATGCGTATCTATGGGGTGGCATAGCTCTAGTTCACGACAGCTTAGAAGGCGCCAGAGCGTCATCGTCTCTTCTCACCGCAGCAATTCTCGCCGTGACCGCCTTGCATGCTCAGGATGACGGGACGTCCTTTGATGTCTGCTACCCGATCTTCCTCGAACTCGTCAGCCAGGCCATGTTTGACCGCTATCACTCGCTTGATGATGTGCGAGGACTGTGCATTGGCGCCTTCTACTTGTCCGACCTGAGCTGGAAGTTGTCGGGGCTTGCCGTAAGAATCGCCACCGAACTCAACCTGCACCAATTCTGCGCCATGGCCATCGGAGACCGTCCAGAGTACGTCGAGGAGGCTAGGCTGTGGTACTTTTTGTACGTTTGCGATCACCACTTCAGCATTGCCTACGGCCGCCCGCCCGTGATTAGCGAGAACTCGACGCTGTCCTGTCACGAAGACTTTTTGCGCTTGCCCGGAATCACAATGTCGGATCTTCGCCTGCACAGCCAGGTCGGCGTGTTTATCATTCTTAGTCGAATTTACCATGTATTCGGGCCCGACAGATCGAGAATGATTGCCAACGACGAGTTTGAAATCCTCCGACGGTTCGACGTTGACTTGGCACGGTGGAGAGATCAATGGAAGCCTCGACTTGGTATGACAGTGACAACGTTCTAGGCAGCATGTGTCAGCTTCTAACCTGCTTGTTTTCTTTTCATCTAGCTCCAAACCCCCACATCGCCGACTATCCAGCCAAGGGCGTCATACTGCACTACCATTTTGCCCGAGTGCAGCTATTTGCAATATGTCTTCGGGGCCTGCGGCCCAGTGAGCAATTCAGAATGTCCAATGAGCGCCGCGAGCTTGTGAATCTGGCTATATGCAGTGCATTTGGAGCTTTGGAGCTCATTCTCAACGACCCCGATATGAGGCGTGCAGTGCTGGGCGTGCCTCTGTACCTACTCACGACGATTGCGTATGCTTGCCTTTTCCTCATGAAGGCCCAGACGCAATGGCGGTCCGCAAACCTCAACATCCGCCACGAGACCGTCGCTTCCACCATAGAAGGCATCATCATACTCTTAGAGGAGACCAGCCCTTGCGTCCGCCATGTCGCGCACTACCTCGGCCGCGGGCTCAACGGCATGCTCCAGAAGTTCAAAGAACACAACGCAATGGAAAAGCAGCAGGTTCAGAATGGACAACCCGTGCCGGTGTCATATGCAGATGGTGGAGCGTGGCCCGATTGGAACAGCTGGATGTTTGGCACTGCAAACGTGCCGAGCCAGTTTGGATCGGACCAGGACCAACAGTATGGGCTTAGCTTTTTGGACGCTCTGAGCTCACAAATGCCGGGATGATGCTTGGCAATTGCCGGGCATTTTTCTCCGGGCGTATTGACGATGCCAGAATATCCCTCATCATGTACGTCTTTTGTAATATTGTACACAATATTGATGGCGGGAATGGAAATTGAGCCGGTATGCCTTAGGTACTTGACAAGGTAGACAACAAGATGGCATTGTACTATTAGCAACGGCCGTGCGTTAGAGATCCAACGCGGTGTCCGCGTGACTCTTGACAAGGTTGTGAGCGAAGACGTCGGATCTTGGCGGCCATGACGGTGTTGAAGATGCCGCGTGCAAACGTAATACCCGTGCAGGGAAGCGGTCAGCCAAGCACCGTACTCTGTCATGTTTGATAACGGTTTTGTAGATGCTCGATTCTGGATTCCCGGTTCCCGATTCTGGCTTCCCATCCGACCAATGAGTAAGCAGGTGCGTGGGAAGAAGTGGGTCAAGTCAGCAACACGAGGCCAATGGCTTCTCTGCGGTCCCAGCCGTGCCGCTTGCTGACCTGGAACCTCCGACATCAGACACGGCTTGTTCTCCATATTACAACAGAACACCTGCCAACGTGCGACGACTAAGCCAAACTCAGCGCCGTGGCGTCGGTTTCTCAACAACTCGCAGCTGCCCCATGGGGGGAAAGAAGGCAGACGACTCATCGTGCCATCCTAACCGGCAACGAGCCTGGTCGTGGTACGGCCCGATGCCTTGTTCCAGCATCGTCTTAAAGTTGACTGTTCCCCTTGGACTGGCAATCCCGGCCCCCATGCGCGTCTCTGTACCACCAGTTGACTGCTCGGATAGCCGCCAGAGACATTTTGCCCGAGTGCGAAGCGCAAATGGCGGGCGGCGACAAAACCCGCTCGTACGATGACATGAGGGAGAAGATGTCTCCCGTCGTCAGCACCGAGCCTGAGCTGGCAGAGGCACTGCGCCGTTATGTGCCTCATTCGGCCGAGGAGAAGAAGCTCGTGAGGAAGATTGACTTGTTCCTCATGCCCATTCTTTGGATCATGTACATTCTCAATTATGTCGACCGGACCAACATTGTGAGTTTATCCCCCCCCAGCTCCACGGCGTGGCAACGCATGTACATGTTGCCGCCTCGACTAACCCCCAGCCCAGGGTAATGCCAAAATCGCCGGCATGGCGGTAGATCTTGATCTCGACGACAACCGCTACGCCTGGGTTCTGTCCGTTTTCTTCTTCGGCTACCTCATCTGCGAGGTCCCTTCAAACATGATTCTCAGCCGGAGCAAACCTTCCATTTTCCTGCCAGCCATCATGCTCGTCTGGGGCGCACTTAGCGCATTAATGTCCATCTCCAAAACGTACGGCGTTCTACTGGGCTTCCGTTTCGTGCTGGGGTGCATCGAGTCTGGATTTTTCCCCGGTGTCCTGTACTACCTCAGTTGCTGGTACACCAAGGCAGAGCTAGGTACGTGGCTTCCTCTCCGAGTCTTTTGAAGCTGGTGTTTGAAAAGAAAAACAAACTCTTGTCTAGCACGCTAACACCCTCTAGGCAAGAGATTTGGCATCTTTTACACCGCTGCTGTGTTGTCGGGTGCCTTTGGCGGGATTTTGGCCGGTGCCATTACTGATTATATGCATGACGCACATGGCATTGCCGGCTGGCGCTGGCTGTTTATTGTAGAGGGAGTTGCGACTGTTGGCGTGGCCTTCGTTGCCTTCTTCGTCCTGCTTGACTATCCCGGCACGTCGAAGCGGCTGACACCAGAGGAGCGCAGGCTGGCTGCCATTCGGATTATTCACGACGGCATTGCGACGGGAGGCCATTCGGACAAGCGTTTGAGTCATTGGCAGGCGTTTGTAGCTGCGGTTACGGATCCTAGGACGTACATGTTCCTCATCCTGTATATGCTGGATGTTGGTGCTGGTAGTAAGTCTGCCCCTGTTTTCGATTTCTCTCTCCCTCACACACACACACACACACACACACAAAAGCGAAAAGAAGCGCTAATAATCCCTCAGCCATCTCATATTTTATTCCTACTATTAGCCAAACTATGTACAAAGACAGCACCAGAGCGCAATACATGACGGTGCCAATCTATGTTGTTGCGGCTGTTTGCCTCAACATTCTCGCCTGGTCATCCGATCGCACCGGCGATAGACGCTGGCACATTACGGGCGCTCTTGGGCTAGGCTTTGCCTGCAGTGTAGTGTGTGCCGCCGTGCAAACTTCGGTCGTTCGCTACGTCATGGTGTGCTTCGTGGCGGCGGGCATATGGTCGGCGCTGCCTCTCATTTTGTCGTGGACCAGCAACACGGTCAGTTTGCCGCCGGAGAAGCGTGCGATTGTTCTTGCGCTGGTCAATGCATTTGGAAACTTTTCCAGTGTCTACGGAAGCCGTATCTGGCCCAAGGACAACAGCCCGGCGTTCCATATTGGCTTTGGCGTCACGGCCGGCTTTCTTGGCTGTGGCATGATTTTGGCGGCGCTCATCCCCGTGCTTTGCGCTTTATTCGCATGGAAAGGCACCCAGGTTGAGATGGAGCTCCGCGACTCATCCTGCACTGAGGAGAATTAACGTATATATTTTAATATTACTGTACTTTGTAACTAGATTTAGATAGACGATACATCTTGAAATTTTCATTTCATCTACCTCCCGATATATTTGGAATGTAATGCTCCCCGTCTTGAGTATTGGTGGAGTTTTCTTCTCCCAGATGAAACACCTATGCAAGCAATCAAGCCAAGAACATGCGTTGGCGGGCTAGATCCTGTCGGTAAGAATCCAAATCAGGTCGTCGGGAAAGCCTTTGAAACTATGAGCATTATTTTCGCTAGAGTTCCCAAATGTCCGTAGAATAATTCAAGTGGCGTTGTCTATCTGTGCATTCCCACCACCCAAACTCGAACAACAACTCTTTTCAAAAGAGCAGATTATTTGCAACCACAAGACAGTTGATTTGACTATAACAGCAGCGCCAACAGTAGCACTCACTCCTTCTGCCTTTCAGGTGTTGATACTGCGCGAGGGTGAGGCCATGAATGGGTACGTCTGTGCCGGACTCACTGAGGCAGAAATCGTGGCATACGACAGCCTCCATGTCCCGGGTTACCTGTATATCTACCGAATTATTAGAGTTTATGCGACTTCTGGCTAAGGGGTTTCTTTACCAAACTGCAGCCCGTTAGTCATTGATCTTGGTTAGTGAAAGGATTGTCCTACCTCAACAAATGACGCTCCCAGTTTTGCAGCAGACAGAAACGATTGGTAATAATGTCAGTACACTAGCCTCTGGGTCGGAACTTACGTTCGACATACCGTGATCGTATTTTCTCCAAGTCGGAGAAATGACCGACTTGATACATTCTGTCCGCATCCTAGAGTCCCTTCTATTAGTATTACTACGAGAAAGAGCCATGGAGATCAACATACCTCTATGCCCAACAAGTTGAACGAAAGTGTTTTCAGGTCTGTTTGATTGCTGGTACTGGGTTTTTGCAAGCCTGGGAATGGTTTGGCGACAACATAGCTTAGCAAGACAGTACCGGCAGGAGCGGAAGTTTCCTTGTCCATCAGATAAACTGTGCGCTCACGGATGAGGCTCTCATATTTTTCTCCCAGCAGGCTTTCTTCATCTAGACTTGATGTGCCACTGCTTACTACAACCTTGGAGTTGATAGATTCGCAGCGATAAAGTTTGAGCATTATTTGTAGCGGCATGTCTGATTGACTCTAAAAGCCAGTGGCTTATGCAATTGGTCATCTATAACTGGCAGCTAGATCCTTCTTGAAACAGATTCAGTCCCTAGTACGGAGATATGAAGCTCCATGGGAGATTCTTGGCGAGAGTGATAGCCGCCATCTGAGCTGAAGTTCTCCAAGTGAAGCATTGTTCGATTGTGCCCTCCTTGGGTACTCCCAAGATGAACAATGAGTATTTTCTCTCCTGTATTGCAAACAAGATGAGCTTTCTTCCAATCATATCTGATAACACCAGCAGGTCCATCATGAGGATGATTTGGCGGTTTGGCTTGAAACGCCTCTGCAACGGCATGATGTCCTCGAGATATGGCATGTTCCAGAGCTGTCCATCCTCGAATATCACGGGTGTCTGGTTTGGCACCAGCCTGCAATAGAAGCCTGGTGATTTCTACATGTCCATTAGCACATGCTGCTATTAGTGGTGTCCATCCTCTTGTCTCCTCAGCGACATCAATCCCATATTCGCCCTTGGATGATTATCGTACAAAAAGGTCAGCCATAGACAGGTCTCCTGCCTGTGAAGCACAGTAGAGAGCCGTCTCGCCACGACAAGACTGGTAGAGGAGATCCGGTTTATGCTCCAGCAACATCTTTGCCATTCCCTCGGTATGTGCTCTTATTGCAAAAACCAGGATGCTTCCGAGAACAACTCGAGCTTTAGACATTGCCTGTTGGTGGATACCAAACCCCGATAATGCTCTAAGCAAAATTCCAAGCACTGACAACTTCCCTGAGGCCACTGCGCAGTGGAGCGGTGTTTTCCCACAAAGGTCGACGGACATTAATTAGTGTATCCTGAGCACAACTTCCGCCTATAGTGATCAAATAAGATACTATAGCCTCGCAAATCGAGTCTAGGCGATATTGAGCCGCGTAGTGCAGAAGAAGACATCCTTTGCCATCTTTCTTTTGTAAAAAGTCCATCGTTTTCGGACCAAGTGCTTTAAGCAACCTTGCAAACTGATCACTAGCAAAGTTTAAATGCTCGTTACGCAGCTGGTAAAAGCAGCTTCGTGAAGCCACGCCGCTTATTTTCACAAAGGCAAACGCTTGGCTTGCGCTGCTTCCTTCAAGTATCATCACTTCGAGAGTGAGGGTTGCGATATTATTTGCCGAATAAATAATAGAAGTAAGAAAGACGTCGCCAACGAGCGAACTGCTATTGCCCCTCTTGGTGATGTCTCTGGTTGTTTCTGAAAAGACATGTTTCTCTACAAGAGAGTGTCGATCATTCTTGAAATAGCCGTGCAACTGATCATGCATATTCTGGGTTGTAATACGATCTCCGAGCAGAGCAGTAATGCACCAAGAGTGCGTTTCAAGTCTAGGTTGGGTGAGTAGTTGGCGCATTTCGGACAGGAGCCTGTTCACTCTTCCAAATGCTTCAGCCCAAGATTCATCTATGCTTTGCTTTACAGCAGCCCAGCGGGAATGGCAAAAATTGAAAGTGCTTTTTTCGTATGTATAATTGCCAATCTTGGCGAAAATCCTCTCAATTGCCGTGTCAATGACCCTGTTGAACCATCGAAGATCTTTTAGTTCTGACAGTATGTCTTCATAAGCAGCTTGAACAATCTGAAGTTCGAGCCCATGGACGCTTTCAATGTTCGGTGAAGTAATAGGGCTCCGAGGCAGGCCAAATTTGGAGCGTATTTCGCTTTCGCGAGAAGTAATTGACTGCAATAGTCTCAACGTATAAGTCTCAATGGATGCATATTGGCCTCAAGGTATTTAGACACCTCTGAATTTAACAGGTAGAATATGTAAGAGATTGTAGATCCAGGAATCTTGCCTAGGTTGTCAGCAGCGCCAATTTTACGGGCCGAGTCTCTAATCTTCTGGCGCAAGCCATTGTCGTCAATGTAGTATGCGTCCCATCTTGGGATGAGCAGTTGGTGGAAATACAGACCGAATTTCATCGCTCAGGAGGCCAATAAGGACCTATGGCCGAAAATCTCTCAGTATTTTGCTAGGAATGTTTGCTCGAGAAGTAACAAGCCAATCTCTTAAATGATGTCGTTTCGGGGAAATGTTTGGTCGGCCACGCCTTGTGTGAATGGTAACAGAACGGCGTCCAACTTTGGAAGGAGGGGAAAGCCCGCTTTCCCTGCGTGTCTGTTGAGCCATCTCCTTTGTGTCCTTTCAACGTCCGATATTCCAGCAAAGCGCAGAGATGACCGGCTGTCCTGATCATGGATCCTATCTCGTTGGCTGCTAATATTATTGGCATACTCGACACTTTTTGGTCGAAAATATGCTCGTCCATTGCAGACTTGCGGCCCCTCTGCAAAACTCTACCTGGCAGAATTCCCGCTGTTCGCAACGAAGTGGCAGATCTTGTGCTTGTGCTTTTGCAGGTCAACAACCTGATACAAGACCGTGTCTTTCTGCCGAGATCAAAGTATTCAGCAGTGCCACCTCAGGTGAAGCAAGCCAGATTAAAGTTGAACGGATTTTAAAGCATTATCAACAATTTGAGTCGTATTTACTTGACATCGAAAACACCACCTCGTTTGATGCAAGATTAGCGGGAGGACCAGGAGCGCTTGAAGGAGCTGCAGGATAATATACGAACTGTTAAGAGCAGCCTCAATATTATGTTGGGCGCAGAAATTCGTATGGGCTTGTACCTCAAACTTCTCTTGATTGTTATCAGTGGGACTAACCGAGCGAGGATTTGCTCAGAATTTGGGTCGACATTCAGACAACATCTGCCACGACGACCCAAGCATCTCGAATGCAAATTGTCACAAACGAGAAATTCGTGGCCACTCTGACGGGGGTTGAAGACCGTATTGCAAGGGTAGAAGAGATGTTGCAAGAACAATCACGAAGACTGCAAATGAACCAGTATACCCAAGTCAAGTCCGCATATGGAACTGAAAGACAGACGAAGAGGCGATCCGCGGTTCCTGGCACAATTTCTATTAGCTCACCGCAAGCTGACTTTGGCCTTGGGATTTGTGTCACTCCGTTTGAAAACACATGTAGGAGACGCTGCCACTGCTCTTGCCACATTCTCAAGCACTCCTCGTCACCAGCATTTTTGAGCAACTTGTTGGGTCGTTATTTGTTGGTTATACAGGATTGCCGGTTTTAAGCCCAAGATGTGACAATTCCGTTTGTCAAGCCTCTCGGTCGAGCAAATTCAATGTGGAATACTGGTTCCCAGCTAACTTCTGGTCTAATATTATACAAATGGAACCTCTCGTACCATCAAACAACAGGGCCTTCCTTGCAGCTTCGTACCTTGAGGGGAGTTCCCGACAATGCACAGTGCGTCAATTTTGCTCTGAATGGAAACATAGACGGACCGAAGTTTATGTTTCGCCACGGATTGGCGTCACCACGTGATGTAAGTACCACACGTGGCTATTTCTATTTTACGACGGGCATTAAATGGTAAACAGTATGAGACTTGACAAGCAGGCGCTGATGTCGACTACAAACCACTTGGCGCATTTGATAATAGCCCACGTATTAAGGCATGTCATTTCCTTCTGGAAGGTAATCTTTCCGAGTCCGCTGTTGGGGCTCTCCGTGCCATCACAAACGGCAGCGAGTATCTCGATGATTTCATAGAGGAGTCAAGTTTTACTCAAACGCATCGAATCATTCTCGGTCTCCCAATCGGCGATTTGGAGCGAGAACTAATTTCTCATCCTGGTGAAATCAACGCGCAAGATTCGATGGGCCGCACAGCCTTGGCGTGGGCTGCCGCCCGGGGGGATAGCCATTCCATTTTGACCTTGCTCAGATATGGCACTGATCCGAACATAATGGACTCCCAGATATCTGGCCCGTGGTCGAATGCTTCAGCCCAGCGTCATACAGCTTGTGTAAAACTCCTGCTTGATGCAGGTGCAAATCCTGACCCTCCACGTCCTGGCGGTATCAACAAGGGCGGGCCTTCAAATGTTGCTGCCCGAAGATATGATGATCCAATTCTTGTTAAACTTCTCTTGGATTTTGGAGCCGAGGTTGATCAATTCGGGGTAGACGGCAAGACAGCCCTTTGCCATGCGGCGCAAAATAATGATGCTTCTCTAGCAATACTTCTTCTGGAGTATGGTGCCGAAATCAAGAAAGCTACCATCACTGGAGATACACCATTAACTATTGCAATCACGCATAATAGTCACCATGTCCTGAGGCTTTTTCTTGAGCGGTGGCACCACTATTCAATATGTCCTCGACTCAAAGGACCGCATCTTCTCGAAATTACAGCCAAGTATGGAGACCTCGAAAAAATTGGTATATTGGCGAACACGGATCATTTTCGCCTCAAAAAATATGACGAGAAATACACATTAGGTGACTTCAGCAAAGTGATTCAGGAACGTCCCGATAGGGCGGACAAGTTGACTCTGGCATTTGAGGAACTACCAAGCATATTTAAGCATGCTCCTCATGCAGCAGAACAGCAAGAAAGTCTATTGAAGACAGGTTGTTGGCCGCCTTTGGCCTCGCGCCCAACTACGTAGGAAACAGCAAATGAAAGCCCAGAGCGAAGTGATGATGAATCTGACGACCAATTACATAACACGCAAGCCCTGCCAGAAGATGATAATCGACACGAATACGAGGATTGCAGAGAAAGACACTAGGGACACGTCTAGATCACTAGGATCATTGGTAGGGATATATTTTTCGGCAAGTATGGCGCAGGCCGGCGAACATAAATGGTCATACTGAGAAAAGTATAATATTGCGGGTATTTATTGACTTTTTTTTACGTCAATCATACATCAAAACCCAAGCTCCTCAGTACCAAGGTTATCGCTCCCACAGAGCCAAAGGCAATTTGTGGTCGGCTTCCGGAGCATCTTTCATCGCCAAAAAAAAACACGCAACTATCCCAGCCTTGGTTGCCAGTTGTGAAAGGAACACTTTAAAATACTGCAAGCGCATATTGTCATTACAACATTTTGCTGCAGTATTTTCGACATGACCAACGCAAAAAATCGATGTAACTAATCAATCACCTGTTTTTGCCTACATTTTGTCCATCCTCTGTCCCTCCGCCTCACTCTTGATGCAGATGCTCCTCAGCAGGGGGGGCCTCATCATAATCTTCTTCCTGGTCATCATCCGCAGTGGCATCCTGATACTGTTGATACTCGGAAATCAAGTCATTCATATTCGACTCAGCCTCGGTAAATTCCATCTCGTCCATACCTTCGCCGGTATACCAGTGTAGGTATGCCTTACGACGAAACATGGCGGCAAATTGGTCCCCGACCCGCTTGAAGATATCCTGAATAGCAGTAGAATTTCCTATGAATGTGGATGCCATCTTCAAACCCTTTGGCGGCACGGTACACAGCGATGTTTGAACATTATTTGGGATCCAATCCACGAAATATGTGGAATTCTTGTCCTGGGCTTTACGCATTTGCTCTTCCACTTCCTTACCGGAGAGCTTGCCACGGAACATGGCCGAGCATGTCAGAAAGCGGCCATTACGGAAGTCAGATTGCGCCATCATGTTTCGAGGGTCTAGCATCTGCTGTGTTAAGTCGGGCACCGTGACAGATCGGAATGCATGGCTGCCCCGAGCTGTAAGGGGAGCAAAGCCCACCATGAAGAAGTGAAGACGTGGAAACGGAACCTAGGAATAACGAAACGTCAATTTACAGTTTCGAGAAGCGGGACGAACAATCTAGGGCTGTGATTCGTGAATCTTGTTCAAGATACCGCTCTGCCTGTTTGAACATACTACAGGCACCACAGACCGCACTCACCAAGTTGACACAAATCTTTCTCAAATCAGAGTTCAGTTGACCTGGGAACCGCAGAGAAGTAGATATTCCAGACATGACTGTCGAGATCAGGTGGTTGAGGTCACCAGTTGACGGGTTTGAGAGCTTGAGCGTTCGTTGGCATATATCGTACAAAGCTTGGTTGTCGATGCAAAACGTGGCGTCCGAGTTTTCAACCAGTTGGTGAATCGACAGAGTAGTGTTGTACGGCTCCACGACGGTATCGGACGTTTGAGCAGACGGCACCACACTGAATGTGGCCATCATGCGATCAGGGAACTCTGTACAACCGAATCGTTAGCGGCGCCCCGATGCGTCGAGCCATCCGGCCATGATGATGGGTCACTCAATACCTTCTCGGATCTTGGATAACAACAGAGTGCCCATTCCGGAACCAGTACCACCGCCAAGGGAGTGGGTAATCTGGAAACCCTGAAGACAGTCACAGCTCTCAGACTCACGACGGACCACGTCGACTACTTCTTCAACCAGCTCTGCGCCTTCGGTGTAGTGACCCTTGGCCCAGTTGTTGGCAGCAGATGACTGTCCGAAAACAAAATTGTCTGGGCGGAAGAGTCTGCCCAACGGCCCAGCTCGAACGGCATCCATGGTACCAGGCTCCAGGTCAACGAGCACGGCGCGTGGAACATACTTCTTCTCCGACGCCTAACGTGAGAAATGGCGCGTCAGGATGTGCACTTTTTTGGAGCGTGATGGGGGCAAGTGTCATACGGCATACTTCGTTAAAGTAGACATTTACACGGTCAAGCTGAACTCGAGAATCACCGGTATACCTAGGCAGGGCATGACAGGTTAGCGTTCCTGCTGGCCGACCAGCTAATGGAGACATGTGCGAATCACGTACAGTCCATTGTTGTCCAAGCCATGTTCGCCCAGGATTGTCTGCCAGAAGGCGGTGCCGACTTGATTGCCCTACATGGCGTTAGATGAGATTCAACAGAGGTTGACTCTGGAGGCCCTGGCTTACACACTGGCCGACTTGAAGATGAACCTATGGATCGACAATTACGTCATAGGTTAGTTAAGGAGCACGGCAGGTTCGCGACGCGAGAGACTCACAATCTCAGGCATGGCTGCTGTTTCCGGAGGCCCCGCGACGAGTTTGACAGGACGGCAAGCAAGCAGGTGGCGAGTCGTGAGCCGGCCGCGTGTTGAGGAAACAGACGACAATTAAATAAAAAGGTGGGAAATTGCGAACCGCCGACCTCGCAGTGGTTTTTTTCTGAGAAGCTAATTTCGCAGCCTGGTGCCCAGGGTAACGAGGAACGGGGAACGCGACCACTGGATCCGGAGTTTGCTGTTAGGCAGCCTCGAAATTTCAATGTTATTTCTGGTCAGACCACCGGCTTCGCCCAACTGGTCAACTGGCCAACTGGTAGCACCAACGCCAACAGCTACGGCTATTGCCTGGGAAAACTTGTGGGGACGGCCTGACATGATTTAGCGACATTAAAAAGCCAAGGTGCTCCTTTTCCCGTGACCAATGTTTCTGCCCGACACCATCATTCCGGCCGCTTTGGGGCTTGTGCAGGGCGGGACACGGAATTGTTGGGTGCCACAGCCAGGACCGCGTCACGGCACGTGAGGCAGTTGTTTATAAGGCTCTCGCGAATCTTAAAGGGGAAGCTTGTTACGGAGTTGTATGTGGCTCATATACACAATATATATGTTCATGGTTCTCACCCATGATGCTGCCAAGAAGCTCACATGCTTTCCAGATTAGGAAGTCCAGGGTAGTTGCACATCCCTCGGGATTCATGTGGCTATACTGCGACGGTCGACTTTTTGCAAAATCCGAGAAATTGGACACCGAAACGTGGCATCAATAATCTTGCTTTGCTTTTCTCTCTGTGCCGATACGGGTCGCGACAAGAAGTAACGACGGCCCAGCTCCGCGGATAGCAACACAGCCAATATCCAGGCCATGAACTCAGAGCTGCTGGTGTATTGTGAGCTTTGTGTCTTACATGTGCATTTTTTGCGCCACTGCTCACCTACATTGGCCCATGAACAATCAATCCATGTCGTCCATGTCGGGGGTTTTGTCGGTAATTCTCAACAATCTGGGTTAGGCAGGTGCCCGTGCGAAAAGTTGATGACACTTGATGACGATGCCGCCATACGCCTCTGCCTGTCTGTACGTTATTGGCGGCTCTACGAAAAGGGCAGCTGGAATTACTTGCACATCGGCTTTGTAAGCCTCCGCTCACCCCTGCTTGATGTATGCATGGTGGAACATGCCGAAAGGGGTAATTTGGGAGTTGCGATGACTGGCTTCCATCATTCGACGACTTGTCTTGGAGCATAGCATACTGCTGGGCACCACGGGGATGCGCTGCGTTCCTCAGACATATTGACGGTCGATTCGACGAGTCTTGCTCAAAATATACTGTTTATTCAAATTGATGCGTTCATGTACATCAAGGAATCCCGGCCCTTGTCAGAGGACATATGTACAGATCAAGAAGACCAAGTGGTAGCAGCAGTTGACACCCGTCTCACACCACAGAACCTCGGTTTCGCCCAGTAAGAAAGAAAGAAAAGAAAAGAGAAAAACGTTTACGAAGTGCCGGAGCAGCCGACAAAGTTGTTTCCAGAAGCACCGGTGTGGGTGATGACGCCAGCAAGGTTGCAACTATTAGAAATGACAACGCGGTCAGGGCCGGGGGAGCCTGTCAAGCAAGTCAGTAGATAACCCTCAAGACGAGATGGAACAGAGTATTTGGTACGACCTCAAGACATACCACCAGAGTAGATTTGGCCAGACTTGAGGATGGGGAACTCGTTGTAGGGGCCGGCGACGGGGAAGTCGAAGCCCTCGTAGTTGTTGTATCGATGAGGGTAAGTCGAGGATCCGGCATGGCTGCCGCTCTGGACATAGTTGCAAGCAGCATCAGCAGCTGCCTGGACAGCACCAGCGGTGTATTGGACGCCGCCGCAGTTGGTAGCATCTCGAGCCTGGAGGTTTGCAGGCGCGGCGCTGACCAGGGCAACCAGGGACAAGAGGCTGACGATGGGGAAGTGCATTTTGACGGATGCCGAGCAATGGATGATGAGGATAAATATAAAGGTCTCAAGACAAAGACGGCAAAGACGGACCAGTTGCAAGACCGTATAATAAACTCTGCCAACGAGCACAAATGCCACAAGTCGGATTCGATGGAGGGTCTGGCGTTGTTCTTATAACACGAGACCTCTTCCACAGTCGGCCGAGAGAAGCACCGACACCAACTTCAGATACACAGAATACTGTGTCACCGAATCCATTCTTAGAATGGCAACTGTCGATCTTGGTGCGCGGCCCTTGAAATCGAAAGTCAATTTGGCCATGCCCATGCTAACGTCAGCTCGGTGGGCGCGGCCAAGTCCAACTCTGAACGGCAACACAATACATACATATAGTCTTGTCCGACGCCTCCTGCCCCCGGTGATGTGAGACCGCCAAACTCCCACCACTCAGAGGTCCTTATCTATGCCATGTGAGGGTGGGGAGCCGGCTCAGGTTGCGCATCTTGGAAGGTCAAGAGTTATCGTGGTCGTGGATCGGCGCCCCAGTGGCCAGCTTCCCCCGGCGGCGTTAGTCTGGGGATGAAGCGGCCCTCTCCGACCCTCCGAAGGGATGGCCTCTCTCTCCACTTGGTCAAAGTAAGCGACGGCCCATGTTGAAGCTCTGAGATGCGGTTGACGTGTCTTGGTTGCGGCCTCGGTCGGTCGAGCTGAGGCTGGAGGAGGAGGAGGGAGAGCTGCTCCTCTCCTTATGAGGCCGTGGGGTCGTTTTTCTGTGCCACCGGAGCGTCTTGGGCCCGGACTGAGGCAGACGTGTGATGCGACAATTTTGGACTTGGACCAGCATTGGAGGAAAGAAACCAGATGGGCCGATTTCCCAGATCTCAACCGAGCCCCCCGGGCCCTGTGTACATCTTGTGGCACCGAGATGCCGTCAAAGCACACAACCGTCCTCGCATCGATAGGATGAACTGCTGGCAAATGGCATTGTAGTAGTCTGGTACTAGCAGATCAAGATCCCAGCGCCCCCTGGTCAATGGTCATCCTCGTCAAGAGTCGGCCAGTACCGATCGGGAAGGTCGTGTGGATTTTAGCCTTTGCTCTTCCAGGCATACATATGTAAGCAAGGGAGGGCGTCGTCAGGCCTGCAATTAGCATACCATGTGTGTTTTCGCGATGCAGTTATTCGGTGATCAAATTGGGACCGGTTCCAAGTTCCACACAACCCAGCAAGCGGCGGCTCTAAAGCATGTCAATACGTGTGCCGAATCGGGAACGAATGCCGACCGTCCTCCAGCCTTGCTACATGTATGCAGTCCCTGGATTCCGGCACTGCGGCCCCGAATGGCTTTTGAGCCTGAGGGCGCCCGGACCGTATGTATGACTGCATCATCAATATTGCGCGACGACAACTCCTATATCGCTTTCGGTGGCCATGGGAGTCAAGGGCAGCTTCAAGACTCGACTGAGGAGCATCTTCCTTCATCACACATGAACCAACTACTAGTCGGGCTTTGTTTAACACGATATATTCGTACTGTTCCACGGTCTAGATAGAAATACGTGATACGGCTCCTTGGCATCCTTGAGCATGGGACTCGGCTTTGCCCCAAGTGCACAATTCAGTCGGCCGCCTTTCCTCCAGGTACAGCATGGTGCCAGCGAACTTTGGAATCACCCCAAGTATGTTTACTGAGAAGCCTCAGTTATAAACGCCTTGGCCACCCCATCCGCCTCGGTAATTGTCGCCCGTAGCGACCCTGTTGCTCTCTCTAGGCGACGAATCCGCAGTTTTCCGCGCCAACAGCGCCTATGGCAGCACAGGCTTTGGTCGTCTTGGCGCAGCACGTAGACGCGCAATCAGCATCGCTAGCGCATACGCCAGTAATAAACTGCTTGCCCGCTCCGTTGGCGAAGTTTTCCGCCCCGTCACCCGTAGGGACGCCCTGGTTACCTCCATTGCCGGCGTTGGCTCCGTTGTTGCCGGCGTTGGCTCCGTTGTTGCCGGCGTTGGCTCCGTTGTTGCCGGCGTTGGCTCCGTTGTTGCCAGCGTTGGCTCCGTTGTTGCCAGCGTTGGCTCCGTTGTTGCCAGCGTTGCCTCCCCCAAATCCGCAACCAGTCTTGCCGTCAGCGTTGGCGACGGCAACGGCAGAACAGACACCGCCGCCGTTTTTCCCGGCGCAGCAGTTGGTCGAGCAATCAGCATTGCTAAGGCATTTACCAGTGATGAACTGCTTGCCGTTCCCCTGACCGACGTTTTTCAACTCGGAAGGGTCAAGTGCGGCGTAAGCCGTCACGGCCACTAGGCGGGCAAAGAGTCAGTCGCCGGCGCTGAAATGTAATATATATAGTCATGTTGCGAAACTTACAGGTAAGAAGAGAGATAACAGTCAGGCGAACCATCTTTACGACTGGCAAAGAAATTGTCTAAAATTGAATTAAAAATATTTTTAGAGAATGGAGTAATGGCAGCTCGTGGTGCTATTAATGACAAGGTGAAAAATTATAATAATAAAAAGTAAGACGAAAGGAACGAATCGACTCCAGGTCGACTATTGCAAGATATTCTTCGGGATGAAGCAAGTGTGAATAGGATTCCACCCGGAGCCTTTTTGGGATCGGGCCGTCGCGGCCTTAAATAACTTGATCGAGCCCATATGCGCATCCATCACCTGTGTGTGTTTCGGCTGGTCTGATGTGAATAGGCCTCCCGACACCAGCCGGATGAAACTTTGACACTCGTCGAGGGCATTGCCACCCCCAATACTCCGTGGTGAATTGCTGCCGGAGTACCGAATTCGACGAGGAGTGCCCTCGCCCTTTCTGGCGCGCCTGGCGGTTTGGCGTCGCTGTTTGCGGCTGGGTTGGGGATGGGGTCGATCCGTGACAGCTCCAATCTGGACTTGCGACAGGAGGCGTCAGTCAAAACTGGGAAACTAGGGTTTCGCAGGCGACGATGAAACCTCCCACATCGTCACGAATGTTGTCGATCCCCCCCTTTGGCAGCTGCTCTCCAGGCACGAACGAAGATGCGTAGTATTAGTTTTCCGTCGTCAAATTAATTCGTCTCGTAGTCCGTCAATGCTGATGGTCACAAGATCAGGGGGCCCGCGTTGGCTCCATGATTCCGAGAGACTCTGGACATGGCAGGCAAGGCAGCAAGGATGTTCGTTGCTCTTGATGATAGAACAGAAGCCCTTGATTGCGACCGAGTATGTATGTACAAGGAAAATGATGACAGGCCTCGATGGGCGGGTGCGGCAGATGTCAAGACACTCTTGGGTTGTTGGTTACGTAAGCCTAGGCCATGCCATCATCTTACTACTGAGGTGAGGTGAGGGGTGAGGGGTGAGCTTGTGAGTTGTGAGCTGTGAGATGAGCTGTGAGCCAGGACACAGACAACACATACAACGTTACGTCTATCAATGCCCTTCCGCCTGCAATACAAAAACCCATCACAAAGTTCATGCTTCTGGCGCCAGGCTCTTGGGGGTCACTGGCCGGATGGTCGGAGACTCGGTGTCCCGATTTATGCATTCGCCATCATCTAGAATGGAGGACTCCTCGCCATGCGCTTCGCATTGGGGGGCCCAACCTATGATGATCCAAACATTGGCAAACCAAGAAGCCCTTGTTTTGTCTTGATGATGCGTTCATCCAAGTCCCCTTGTTAAAACCCATCTGGTCGCCACGAGGATGTTTCATGCCGCCATGATGCAGTCTTGGCTTCTTGACCCCCAAGCTTCGCAGCCTCTGCGTTTCAGCTCATTCAGCAACTACAAATGTGAGTATCCGTGGGTTATGGTTTTATTATTATGATTATTATTTTTGGCATCGCTCTGATGTTTCAGGAGTAGCAGCATGGCTGCTTGTCGAGCTGGGAATGATCTCGGTGTAAATGCTTGGACAGTGCCGAGTCCTGTTTAGCCTCACCACCATTATGCCATTGATCAGCTGGGGCATGATTGCGTCTGCTTGGAGGCATGTTCTCCCAGCCAAGGTGCCTTACGACGCATGACTATTGACCTCCTCTCTTGTTTTACCATTCTCGCAGCTACTTAGCCCTTTCAATCCTAGCCAGGATGCAACTCGCCCTCGAGTTCTGGTCCTAGTTTGACTGGAACGTCATCGCGAGGGACGTACGGAATCACCTCCGGCCTTGGAACTCAACGGGGCAGCTTTGGACTTGTATACATCATGTTGCTGTACATATATCGTGAGCTAGTCGGTGCCGCAATTGCCATGTTTCGCAAGTTTCCGCAAATAGACTGGATATTGCCTGGCTGCTTTGCTCAGGGACTCATAAACGATGTATCCCAGTTGTAAAATAAATAAAATAAAAGTAAAAATTAAGGGTACTCCTCTCCATTAACTAGATATGCAATCACATCATGGCGCAAACCTGGTTCTGTGCCCGGAAATGTCCTCGGTAGCAATTCTTCCATATATGACTCCTCTGACAATACAAAATCGTCGGGAAATACCTTGGACATGACATGCCAGTGGCGTATTTTCCATTTGTCATTTGTCTTTGACAAGTATCCCACCGGAGGAAGCAGTTAGTGATTCGGGTATCAATGCAATTTTAAACCGAGTCTCGGCCACACATGCTCTGGGAGGATCAATTCATGCGAGGCCGGATTTAGTCGACCGATCATTTAGTAATTCCGTTGTTTATTGTTTCCCTCTCAAGTCAAATAATATTGCAAGCGTGATACAAGTATCGTGCGAGCACAGCATCTGGTAACGCAGTATTGGGTTGTGCCCAGCGAAGAACAGTAAGAGATGAAGAAAAATAGACCGTCTGCGCAACATGAGATTCACGACGCTTCAGACACACCAGCGTAATTGGTGCTGCATAGCGGCAACGCAGCACCAAGGAAGCTGCTAAACTACTCCCTAAAGGGGCTGAAAGGGCCTAGTAACACAATATTGGTAGTTTATAGTCTCATTCCAGAGGCCGAGACTGATCATTTACATCTCGAAAAATTACAACTTAGAGACCTGATAAACGAAGCTTCGTTCAATCGAGGTTACCCATGGAGAGTTGATTCTGTGGATTGGAAAAGGTCCATCGCGAACTATTGTTCCTGTCCGCAAGACTTCATCAATTATCTCAAAGTTATCTGGGTAGCTATTAAGTGTTGGTTCAATAAACTTCAATCTACCAAGCTAATAACAAAAAACATCCCTTTTGATTAGTTTTTAGCTGTAAGAAGCCTCGATTCCCGAATGAGATACAGTGGGAGGCAAAAAGTATGTGACCAGACGACACCTGGTTGTCGCGCTTTACATTATTATATATTACAGTATAGTATAGGAAGAGGGAAATGGCTTTTAGAGAAGTCAAATACCATTTATTACACTTTACATATTAACACATCAGAGTATACTTTTTAATGAGTGAATAAATTCTACCACAGACTGTAGACTTAATCAGGGCCAAGTCTCACATTCAATGCCATCTATAGCTACCAAGCGTTACAAGATGGCCCATGGCTCTCGGTCACTCGCTCAAAGAACCGAAACCTTCCAGCTTGTCAACGAGTGGGTGTAAACTTCTAGAACTTGAAGATCGTGCCGGGTCAGGCAAGTCAACAAGGTCAGCTCGACTCAGCCTGACACTCGAGTAACAAGTTGATCCCTGGCAATAGCAACGACGAAGCAGAAATAGAAGACGCCCCAGATATCATTGCCCCCACGCGGCCGTCATGAAGCATGATGAAATAACACGAGTCAACTACTCCTAAACATGTGAACCGGAACCAGAAGACTTCATTTTCAGGTGCCCCTGTCCTCGTGCAACACTGTTGAGAGTCAAGTCGCAACATTGGCGAGGAACGCCGGTCAACAACTACACAACAGCAAGGCCTTGCCAGTTCCCTCGTGCTGTCGTTCTCCATAAACGGTCTCAGACTCTCTTCGGAACATATCCACCAGGTCCGCCAACAGAGACATCTCTTACCTGGTTGCGACGGTAAAGTGGACTGCGCAAGGTGAGGTTGTTACAACCCCAGCCACGAGGAAGAATACATACATCCGCCTTTTGGTTCCCCGACCGGGGAGATGCGTGCATATCTGCCGCTCTGGCAATCTTGCCTCCTCTGACTGACAGGAGAATCTCTGTTCTCCAGGAGCCACTTCGTTTGTTTCCAACACACCCGTTGGAGCAGTTCGCAAAAAAGGTGCAAAGTGAAATCGTGGCCACGGTATAGAATCTACCTGCGCCGTGAGGCTCATGTCACCGACTACACGAGTAGATTTCTTCTTTTGTAATTGTCGGAAAGAATCCTACATGCAAAAAGTTCTCCGCGCCTCCACCCTCGGTCCGTCAGCACATGTCAATGCCCCCTGCTGGCCAAGAAGTCGATTATTCTCGGCACCTTCCCATGTTCTGATTCATGCTCCAGAATCTCACGCGAGGTTCCGACAAGGCTGCGGTTCTCGATTAATCGAGTCACCTTGATTCACACGTTACTTCTCGAGTCCTGGTCAGCAGGTGCCGTTTCACTAGAGTCGTAAGCCGTGGCTCACGTGTGTGCCCTATTTATGTTCCAGTAGATGAGCAACGACACGGTAGATCCTCGATAGAACCACCCTCAAGCCGCAGGAACAACTCGAGCATTGTAAATTTATAACAGGTGCGTCGGCCAAGGCACGCATATTTGGTATACGGAGCAGGGGACCTGGCCCATGAGACAATACCTGCGGATTGCCCAGAATTTACCGAGGAGTGCGCCACTGTTTGCTGTCAGAATGCTCGGAAGACGGGCAGAAAATTGGAGCCCGTGGGCTTTTCGAGGCTCTTCATGTTTCAACCCGCATGTCTGTCACAACTCCGTCTGATATGGAGCTGTCAAAGTCCGCTCACCCGATTGGTTGTAAAAGGACCATGATGGCTGCGTAATCCCTGTCTCAAGTCCCAAAGAGATGAAATTGGTGAAAGCGTAGCCCAAAAAAGGAAGGAAATAGGGGGCATGAGACGTCTGCATGCCATATGAGACGGTCACCGGCTCCAATCTGGTGCTGTTGATCGGTGGAAATAAGCTTGCAAAAGGTATTCAGAAGACCACGGCATATTTTAAAATTGTATTCGAAAGTCCGGTCTGAATCTGAGTTCCGAATACTGCAAGTTTCCCTCCTGATCGGGTCGGACGGTGTTTATTTGCCTGATATATTCAGTGCCACAGATACAACTTTGCGTCATGGCCAGGCGCAACGCCGCTCTTGTCCGCCACTTTTTAGCGGGAAACGGTCTCGGAAGTTCTTTGAAGTCATGAGATTCAATCTCTGACAAGCTTGTCGAGCATAGAGTACACAAATTTTTAGGTGTAAACAAGTCGAGGTAATGCGGAGAGCTTAACACGCGAGCGGTTTCATCGCAAAGCACATCAATGCAACGCATATCAGTGCGCCGAGTTTTCCTTCTAGTGCTTTTCTGCTTCTGCGTACCATAACTCAGTACTGCCCTCCGTGGTTTCGGGAATCCGGTATAATCGAACCATGAGGCCTTCCGCGATTCCTGCCAGCTTTTGCTGTGGTATCTCCTCATGAAGGTCTTGGATCATTTGACTATTGACACCCTTAGGCCCCTTGAATTTTCGTTCGGTTTTGAATGAAAAGGTTGCTTTCGGATTTAAATCTCCAACTTTGCCACCACGATGGATCAACTTTTGGTGTACACTGGTCATATTCGTCTTTGAATACCAACAAGTAGGTTTCTCAATATGGGTAACCACCAGCCAGGAAGCTCTCTAGGTCATCATTAATGCAGAATGGGGCCAGGAAGTCATCCATCACATCAATCGGGATGTCGTTCCAGGAAGGGAGGTCTGTAGTAGTACAGGCGAGCCCTACGCAGTCCATCAGAATCCAATGTCTAGCAGGGAAACAGAATCGTTTACCTCCGTCTTCCTGAAGTCCACCAACTTCACTGTCAACTTCCAGTTTCACAATCTCGCCGCATTCAGACATTTGCCCGTATTTCCAAATAATATCGTTGTGGCCAAGGACAGAGGTTCGTGTACGGTCGAAACTGCCACTACAACGATTGAGCTCTGCCGCGTCCACGTTGCAAGGTTCATCTTGTAAGGAATAGCCGCTGACTTCGTGGTACCGTCGGAGGGAACGAAGATGCTTCTCCTACTTTCGCGGTCAATTTTCGCTCATCTTACAGTCAGCTAGGTGTGGTCTGAGTAGAGCTCACAAGGCCTGATATAAGCTTCCAGTGCTTTCCGGTACGGCGCATTACCTGAGCGTTTGTCTTGATGTTGGCCGTTGCCTTGGCAGCCACGTCTGGTGACTGACACCATAAGAAGGGCAGTTGAATCGCCGAAGAACAATAGGCCGAATATCCGATGAATCCCCAGTGGCCCTCACTGTGTGATGCCATGCACTTTTGGAGCAGCGACGATATATGTTGGGCATGGTCGAATGCAGTCTGCGCTGATCGTATTTGGGCATCCTCGCAGCCAGGACGGATGCGGCAAAAGGTAAACAACGGAATGATTGAGGCATGCAGAACACAAAGACTTTGATGGAAAAGTATGTTGATGAGAAGTATTTGCGATACCTCGGATGGCTGGTAATGCTCCAAGTTGGTCGAATTGAAGGCAAACATGTCGGGCAAGCCGTTGCGCCATTTTCGAAGCGCAATGTCCAAAGTTTGCATGTTTGACAGCCGCTCTTCAATGTCTAGCTCGGCGTTTTGTGTGAAACTGTGCACCTGTTTCCTTTACAGGCCGCAAATAATTAGCACTTGATTCATGAGCCGTTGATGAGCGAGCCGTCAGTGTTCACGACACATGGCACCTCTTACCAGATACTGCCAACTCTAATCACCTCGGCAAAGAAACTGCCGTTCCTCTCACTATTTTCAAACTTGATCAACTTCTCAGACAGCGTCCCATTACCGAACTCTTGTTCGCTCTGTGGAAGAGGCATGCGCGCAAGAGCGTCTACCGTGGCATTCGAGCCGTCAAGCATTCCACCCAAGCGGCTCAGGATGTAACACGCCCAGAATCGCCTTCTACTTGTCTCAGCAGGCAGAGTATTATCCATGGATGAAACGGAATCCGGAAAATTGAGCATGCGGGCAGCACAAAATAAGTTTGTTCCAAGAAGAAACGACCGCTGCCATTGCCCAAGGCGATACCAGAAAAGAGTCAGGTTGAGTAATGTCACCAGGTTTTCTTCCTTGGGAACAGCAAGATGTGCAAAGACGAGTGCCTGGGCTTTCTCGGCCCATTCTAGCGAAGCGCCCTCATTCAGCAGATGAGCGTCTTGGCCACTGTCAGGGCACAAACTATATGGTATGTCAACTCCGTTCCTCTTGCCATCATGAGCATCGTAAATGGCCCGCGACCTACCCCGATGCGACGGCGCAAACGCCCAGGACGACGTGTTTCGTTGCACGCCCAGTCACCAAGTCCTCCCGGAAAGTGGGTGGATGGAGAAGAAGCGTTGCGTAGAAGAAGTTGGAAAAGTAGCTATCCACCAGCTTGGACACCAATGGCGCGGGAATACCAATATCCATCGGAGAATCCTCATTGAACGCACGCTCCGCCGGTACACCAGACGACATGCTGCAGCTCGGACCTTGAATCCGACGAGTTGTTGCCGTTGACGCCGTCCACGTGCAAGGTCGATGGAGGCGGCTGCATCGTCTGCACGGCGGTCCCTCGTTATCACAGCGTACCTACAAACAGGAATTAGCCCCATTGCCACCGCTGTTTGCACTTGTCATTTGTGATGAAGGGGAGGTGACATGGGGATGAATGGTTCACCGGCGTTGGCCAACCTTCAATGACCTGCATTCATCGCATGCCTTGCGCGGCCTGCCACCTATGCGGTTTCCCGGACCGCCCGGACAGGAACGGGGCTTGTTGGAAACCATTGTGACGTTTGGTAAATCTACTGCCAGACTTAGATGGCCTTGGTATCATGCAATGTCAAGTCTGCTGAACCATATTGGGAAGATGGGAGGCATCATGTGTCATCCGGTGAGAGAGGATTGATTAGTCAGACGCTGATATCAAAGTGCCGATTGGTTGCGTTTACGCCATGATTGTTTTCACTCTTCACTCCATGTCACCAAAAGCACGAAGCTGCACACCCGGTTCTAGGGTCCAGATTCGCCTCTGGAATACAAAGCAAGGATCCAAGTTTTTGATATGGCAACGAGCTATCTTAGGACGAGAAAAGCGTGGGAGCAATGATAAATGCCGAGATATCTAGTACTCGACTTGTGCGAAACCAGCCAGCCAACCAACCAACCACCTCAAACTTTCACAGAGCCCAGCCAGATAATACTTGAACACCCCCGGCCTCATGTGCCGTTTAGCAGCGGTAGTAGCACTTCATGCTCCAGCCGTTGGCATTGGCGCAATGCCCACCGCCAGTCTTGCCGCCAACGCTCGCAATCTTATTCTGGCACGAAGTATCCGAGAACAGGTCGCAATTCGTAGAGTAGGTGCCGTCGCCAATGGCCTTGACCGAGTAGAATTTATCGACATAGCAGTTGCCAGCACAGGTGGGCTTGTAGCCCTTGATGTGGTCCTGGTCGGCGCACCCGGTGCTGCTGTAGTATCGGACGCACTCGCCGTTGGCAACGCCGGGCACGCTGCCGCACACTCCTCGTTTTTCTAGGTCGTTTTTGAACCGCAGGTCGACAATCTTGAGCCCGTCGGGGGTGAACTCTGGAAGAGTCTTTTTGTACAAGGCCTCATCGTCGAATGCTTCTGCGGCGGTGGCAAGGGTGCTGCTTGAGCGGAGCAAGGGAATGAGAGAGAGGGCCAAAGCGGAGAAATGCATCTTGTAAGTTGTGAGATTATGACAAGGGCTGGGCGATTTTGAAGACGGATTTATTTTGTTTCTTGTTAGAGTCAAAAATGATGTCGGGAACACTTGGTCTTGTAGTAATTTTGCTTGCGGTATGGCCGAGAGTACTGCTACTCAACGCATCGTATATAATTCTTCTCCTGGGAACGCCGTCGTCAGCCAGACAGTATCATCAACGATACGTACCTGTTGCGGGCAAGCCAATAAAGCTTGCAAATGAATCTGACATAATCCAATGCCGAGGATTGGCCAATGTCTCGTGCCCTCGTGTGAGAACTCAAGTCGCCATGTAATCCGATGTGTTGGCCGACGAACTCGACCGGTTCGGTCCGAACGGTCTTGCCTCGATAAATGACGGGCGGAAGATGATTCTCATTGGCTCTAACGCACCAAAATCTAGAATGTTGACAATATATTACGACGCCAGGGTCACACAGCCGCTGACGCTTACGTCATACTAGGTTGATGCATATTGGGAGAGCATGTTCTAGATGGCTCGCCGGGGAGCTCTGCGGCCGCCGTCTTACATGTGCCAATTTATCCACCAATATCGTGTCTTTAATTGTCTTGGAGAACCCTTTGCAACGGCAGCAAGACCACGGTGAGGAACTCGAACTGGCAATAAGTGTACCAAACCTGAAAAGTGTCAATGTCATGAACCCTTGTTGGTCTTTAAACGTGGCAACCGTCAACAAGCTCTTGAAATGGGTGCTACGGATGCAAGACATGAACTTGACGTGACCGGCCTTGTTTCATATTGAAGAAAGTATAGCCGCCATGGGCCCAATGCATGGATTGCACATGGTACCAACCCAACTTTGTGTGCCGACATGTGTAATTCGTTTAGTCAACGCTATATGGGCAGTCATCAGTTATTCCATGGCAAATGAAATGACCTGGGAGATAAATTAGTTTTTTACAAGACAAGAATCATCACCGTTGTCACATGATGGATCCGCAATCTCTTGCCTCCATTTTTCATCTTGGACTCATTGATAGCCTCAAGTCGATGACATTATAGAATCACTTGTCCATGTCAAGTGTCGGTATATACAACATTCGTCCTTGGATATGGTCAAGCCGCCTTCTACGACGCCAGGGATTCATACTTCTGGTCCGCCCGCTCAAACGCCCGTTGTAGGGGGATATCAGCCAGCGCGACAATCTTGGTCTTTTTGACAAACTTCCAGATGAAGTATGCAGCCAAAACAAGCGGTATGTCGCTACAACGGGTCAGCACCAAGTTTGTTAGGTCCAAGAGGGCGGCGTAAACGTACAGGTACGCAGAGACAAAGTTGCTAGCGTTCCAATTGCCCTTGGTGAAGACGGCAAAGCCGCCTGTTAAAAGGATAATGATGCACATAAAGAGGGCAAAGTATGACGAGTACACTCGAGGGGGTATATTAGCACTCAGTTCTTCCTTCTTTCAAAGTCGGCAGGGTACTCACATGTCCACGAGTTCGACCAGGGCAGCCTAGTAATTGGAATGGCTTGCTTCTGCATGGCCAAGCGCAAGCGTATGTGGTTGACGAGGATGGAAATCCACGAGACCAAGACGCCGGCGGCTGTCAAGTTGACTAGCCACCAGAAGACGGTGATGGCGTCGCTCGACAGGCTCATGAAGCTGAGGAGGCTAAAGGCCATGAAGAGAAAGACGCAGGCGTAGGGCACACCCCAGGACGTGGTCCTCAGGAAAATCCTGGGCGCCTGCTTCTTGACGGCCAGGCCGTACAGCACACGGGTGCCGGCCAAGAGACTCTGGTTGGAGGCAGACCAGGCCGAGGTGATGACGACGGCGTTGACGACGGAGGGGATGGCGGGAATGCCGGCGGCCGAGGCGGCAATGACAAAGGGGCTCTGGGTCGCGTCGCCGCTCTCGCTGTCCAGGCGGCTGTCCTGGCTGGACACGAGCATGCCGACGATGAGAATGGCCAGCATGTAGAACAGCACGATGCGGATAAAGACGTTCTTGCAGGCGGCGGGGATGGCCTTGCGCGGGTTCTTGGTCTCGGCGCCGGCCATGGCGATGGACTCGACGCCGGCAAAGGAGAAGACGGCGCCGGTCATGACGCTCCAGTAGCCGAGGAACCTGCCCCAGTGGCCGGTGGCAATGAACTCGACAAAGGGGCCCGGGTCGCGCCAGTACCGGAAGTAGACGGGCGGCGTGCCCCTGACGCCGCCGAGGTCGATGACGAGGCCGAGGACGACGAGGAAGACGACGAGGAGGATCTTGAGGACGGCAAAGGCGAACTCGACCTCGCCGAAGAGGCGGACGACCGAGAGGCCCACGACCAGGGTCAGCAGGACAAAGGTGACGATCCAGACGGAGGGGTTGAGGTCGGTCCAGAACTCGAAGAGCACGCAGATGGCGGTGATCTCCGAGGGGATGGACAGGATGTTGCCGTAGACGAGGTTCCAGCCGATGGCGAAGCCCCAGGCCGGGTCGACGAGGAACTCGGCGTGGCGCACAAAGGCGCCGGTGACGGGGAGCAGCGCGGCGACCTCGCCCAGGGCGAACTGGACGGCGCAGACGACGAGGCCGACGGTGGCATAGCCGAGCAGCGCGCCGAGAGGACCGCCGCGCTGCACGGCGCCGCCCAGGCCCAGGAACAGGCCGGTGCCGATGGCGCCCGCGATGCCGAGCATGGACAGATGCCGCTCGGCGAGCCCGCGCTTGAGATGGCGGCCCTCGCCGGCCGTGACGAGGTCGCCGGCGTGGTCGTCGTCGCCGTCGTCGCCGGGATCGTGGCCGTCGTTGTATCCGAGCGGCGGCCCCGGCGTCGTCCGGATGACCCCCGGCGCAGCATCCTGCCGCTCAACGTTGGACGCGAAACCCGAGTCGTCGGCCGGGCCCGGAAGAGGAGTCGTCGTCGTCGTCCCGTAGCCCTTGGCGCCGTTGCTGTCCACGATGGCTGCGTGGTTGCCCCTGGCGCCTTTGACGCGGGCAAGGAAGCTCTTGAGGGCCATGGCAAGGTGCGCCTCGCGACTGGAAATCAAGCTCCCAGGTTCCAACCGAGAGGAGAGACTGCAGAGACGGCGTTTCCAACAACTTGTCCCGCCCGACGAGACGAGGAATGGATCGGCTCCCGTGGCACACAGGGACCGCGAATGGGCGTTGCGCAAGCAAGCAAGCAAGCAAAGGACGCTTTCTACTTTGCGACGTTTCTCTCGCGCCCTTTTTTTTTAATTTTTAATTTTTATACGGAGTAGCTTATCGACATTATCCACTTTTGACAGGATGGTGTAATCGCACCCTGGCTGGGGTTCGCATTGCAACATCCCCCACACAAACATGGCGACATTTGCTACTGGTGTGATACAAGCCGGAAACGGGTATTGTGTGCTCGCGGCGTATGACTCGGTACGAAGTGGCTGGCATCATGTACTGTACATGCTCCAACATGGTGGTTACCACCTCCACGGGCTGCGCGAGTGTCTTGACTCTTGACTCTTGACTGTCTTGGGTCTGTTGACCAAGTGATTTTGGCTACATGACGATTCACCACAAACATGCCACGTAAATCTGTTCCAACGCGCCATCCAAATCATTGACCCGGACGACTTCGGGGTCCGGCCTCTCGGCGACCGACACGTACCGGCCCATGATATATCGCCCCCTGCCATTATCAAATGAACCTTTTCTCGCGCCACGTCCCGTCCCTCTGGCACTCGGCAAAGGTCTGAGCCGGAATCGTCAATTGGCCCAGCCACCAGACGTCTTGCCCGCCAAGCGAGAACCACACTCACGCGACGCGACGCGCACTCGTCTCGAGCCTCCTCGCGACACTGCCGCAGCGCAAGGGGCAGCGGGACGACTTCTGACGGCACCGCCCAGTCGTCGCCCGTCGTGTCGCCGTGTATCGTAGGACCTAGCATCCGCCAGCCGCAGACAAGCAGAATCTCGCGCAGCTCCTGGGCGAGTCTTGCACAAACGAGCGCAACTTGCAGCACACGTGCGTCAAGACTGGGAACCCCGTGTCGACCGGCCACAAAGGGACGGCTCGGCTGCGGCAGCGACGCCCCGGGCGAGCCTTGGAGTCCCTCGTACTCGGCGTCTAGGTGCACCGGCCACATGGGACAACAGACTTCTGCCTCGTCGGCCGGTAAGCAGAACCGCCATATGAGCTCAGAGAGCTCCGGGGGCAGGCTGCCAAAGCCGGGGGATGGGCCATGGGCGCAGGATGCAGGATGCAGGATGCAGGTAGCCATGTATAAGAGAAGAAGATGCGCTGCGATGCCAAGCGTGAAAATACAGCTCTTTGTTCTTACGTCAAGGACAGCACTTGGCGCGTATGTATGTGCGCCGATTTCGCAGTCGACCGCCTCCGACGACCTCCGGGGCGCGCATATGGCATCCCCGGCGTCGACATTTGAATACATGCTCACTTGGCCTACAGACACCACAGCCACATCAAAACCTAGTCAAGGCTCGCCGATACGAGACTGACAGCTCGCCAAGTATGCGTCTTGGCCCTTTCGACCCTTTTGGTCCAATGCACACGCTGAAACGCATTCTGCGGCAATGGCCATTGGTTCGTTGGTAAATGGCGGTTTCTCGCGCTCCTCTTTCCCTCCGCCATGCCGGATGCGCCGGCGCTCAGAGTTGGACTCTTGGTGGCATGGCCTCTGGCCAACTTCAACCCGGCAGGGTCCAAGTCCGGTGCGTTTGTCAAGTAGGTTGAGAGGTGTGAGCTGCCTCGTCTCCAGCTACTAGACGATACTTGGGAGATTCTCGCGGGTTTGAAAAAAAAAACCACGTTAGTCCCCGCGCATGCTGGTGGTGTCGCTGAGAAATGGTCCCCTCCGGGCTTTTAGGCCCCCCCGGCGGAGCGGAGCGGAGGACCAAGGCCGATAGTTTCCCAAATAGGAAAGTCAGGTTTGAGCAGATTTTCCTGCGCCGGTGACATTACAAATCTACATCAGAGTCGCCGGCAGATGGAGCGCACGAGTTAGATTCGGCCGCTGTGTAATCGATAGCCACCCTGGTAGCATAGTCCACAAGAGTCCTTGTAGCAGGAGCTGGTTGGCCCAAAGAGGAAAATGAGAAATACAAAGTCCGCAAGCACGAGGCATTGGTGGAGTGGCAGTTTGTGAATAGCTTGGCTGCTCTGGGCTGTACAACTGACTATATAACTATATCAAGTGCGATGATATCGTTGCAGAATTACTGAATGTTGACAGGCTCTCAGCTGCTTTGAATCTAGATTAGCACAGTCGACAATTTCCTTTTTTTCAATTTGTTTTTTTCAATAAACATCAAACTGCGTACAACTCTTGACTCCATCATGTCTTCATTCTCAACGCAACTAGAGGGCAAGCACGCTCTGGTCACTGGTAAATACAAAAACCTCCACGACGTCTCAGCATCCCACAGAGCAAACTTGGTATATCTAATGCCACATCTCAACAGGCGGCACAAAGGGTATCGGGCGAGCCATTGTCGAGCTTCTACTCGCACAGGGAGCCAACGTCTCGTATTGTTCCCGGTCGGCCACAGACAATGACTTTGCCGCCTTTCTAGACGAGAGCAAACCAAGCGGTACGGCCTCTGGTACTTCCGTGGACATTTCGTCGCCCTCCTCCATAGAGACGTGGGTTGAGAAGGCAGCCCGCAAGTTCGGCCGCGTCGACGTCGTCGTTGCCAACGGTATGACAGATGCCCCCCGTGCCAATCGATCGCTACCCAGTGCCTCGACTAAAACATGTCACAGCGGCCTCGTTTAGCACCGAAGCCACGGCGGAAAGCTGGAGAACTAGCTTCGAGGCCGACGTCCTCGGCCTTGTCTCGCTTATAAACGCTTCGACGCCGCACCTGGAAAAGACGTCGGGTTCCATTGTTGTCGTCAGTTCGGTGGCGGGATTCGAGACGCGCTTTGATGTCGCCGGAAGCCCGTACACGACGTTTAAGCGTGCCCAAGCTACTTTGGCCAAGGATTATGCTCGCAAGTTGGGCCCGCTGGGTATCCGGATCAACTCTGTGATTCCTGGCCCGATTGAAGCACCGGGAAAGGTGCTCCCTGATGGATCACGGGAGCCAAGCCGTATTCAGATGCTCGTAGAGGCCAACCCAGAATATGCCCAGGGCATTTTGGATGCTGTCTCTCTGCGCCGATTCGGCACCGCAGAAGAGGTGGCGAATGTCGTCGTTTTCCTGGCAAGCCCGCTCGCGGGTTATGTTTGTGGTGCCAACGTCCTTGTGGATGGGGCAATGTCAACATTCTTGTAAAGCCGAGTTGTCGCTGGTTCCAAGGCAAACCGTACCTGGATTATACAGCAAGGTAGCGTATAAACGTAGTAGCCAGAAGATAAATACAGTATACTTAAGTATGCAAATAGGGCCTTTCCTATCTAAACGAGAAAAGGAAGTAGAGTGTGCCGTTGTGATAAGTTCGGCTGACCAAGAGTCTTTCCTTTCCAGGTTTTCACGCTCTGCAAACCAAACACTCGGATATCATACATACCTAGGTGTGTATTTTGAAAAACTGTGACCGTTTAGCTGCTTTACCCCCTCTCTTATCTGAACTGGGGGAGACTATTACTCCTCTTGCTCGCAACACCGCACTCATGCTAACAGGGGTTGCGAGGCACGACGAGAGAATTATGCCAAACCCCTGGGCAAACAAACCTGCCGAGGATACTAAAATGCTCGCAGTCTCTGAAGACAACATTGAAGCGACCCTAAAAACAACCCATGCGCCAGGCACTCGACATCTTGAAAAGTCCGCGCAACAACACCACAACACCACAACGTCCTCCAACCCCCTCACAACATCACGAGCCACGAACCTCGTCCACCTCGTCCGCGCAGTCAACCTGCACAACCCTCGCCTCGCCCGCCCCGACCACCCAAGCACTCAGCTTGCCCCCATACACACACGCAGTGTCCAGGCCGAGCGCGTACCTGCCCCTCTGCAGCCGCCTCTTGGCATCGTGCCCAAACACAACCATCGTCTTCACACTTCCCGCACACTCGTCCTGCCACGCATCCCACTCCGCGATCCAGCCTTGCTCCCCGGCCTCCTCCATCGGCACCAGCGCCCCCCCCTCCTCCTCCGCCGCCCTCAAACTGCGCATGTGCATCACCGCGTGCGCGGGCTGCTCCTCCAGCGCAACCCGCGGCACCAGCCCCGCGTGCGCAACGACAATCTGCCCGATCCCCGGCAGCGACGGCGTCACCGTGACGCGCAGCAGCAGAGGCAGCGCGGCGAGGTAGTCGAGCTGCGAGGCCGACAGTGCCGCCGCGGTACGCGCGCTCACGCTCCTCCTCTTCTTGTCCTTCTGGTTCCCATCCTCGTCGTCGTCGTCGTCGTCATCGCCCGCTGGGCCCATCTTCAGCCGCTGAGCGGCCCTCAGGACGGCGTCGTCATGATTCCCCCTCACGCCTCGCGCGCCAATCCTCGCGGCAAAGTCAATCACGGCCCCGGAGTCGGGGCCCTTGTTCACCAGATCCCCTACGAAAATGACCTCGTCGCCCTGCGATTTGTCAAACTCCACTGCGGCGAGGAGCGCTTCCAGCGATTTCCGTAGCCCGTGGACATCCCCGATGATGATGAGGCGTCTCGCTGAGATGGAACCCGGTGGTGATGCTGCTGCTGCTCCTGCTTCGCGAGCCAGCGTGGTACTCAGAGTGACGGGCAGATCATGTATGAATGCGGAAATGGGGTATATCTCGCTCGTCTCCGTGGCTGCCGTCATGGTTGTGGAAATTGCTCAAGTCCGTTGGGATGCAAGATGCCCGTTGCTACTGCGGTTGCCGTGCCCACAAATCCTCCTCCAACTTCTGTATCGCGGGAATGGTGTCATCCATCTAGTGGAGACGGCAAATACATACTTAGGTACTCGGGGCCGAAATAGGAATCACAGACATACCGTCGACATATGTATCCCCGACACCGCGCTTCACTCGGTCCACATTGTCGCAGAGCGGCTGCAGGTACTGTTTCTTTTCGACAAGTCTCTTACTTCCTACAGATATGTACATACAAGTGCGCCGGTCTATGTATCCTATTGTCAAAGCCCTCGAGTTCGCTAATACTGCTTCTTAGATGTAATTAGTATAGATATTTCCCAACGCAATTGCAAGTGTCCCAGATATCCAGCGCCTCGCCGCCAAAATAGAAACAAAAAGCCACATGCTATGCATCCACCGAAGAAAGCCAACATGCAAATTATAACACAAAAAAAAACAAAAGTATGCATTCCCGCGTATATGATGCTTATACACCAGTACAGAATAGATTGCCGTCTCCTCCAGTTCGCCTATTCCGTTTCTTCTCAACAAAGGAGAGTATTTGTCGCCGTATGCTATTAAATGATGTAAAAACAAAATTAAGCAATAGAAAAACCCATGCCTCGCTCTAGGGAAACTGTCGTTGGTGAGCTTCATGGTCGGACGCCGTATCGCCATTGTTCCACACGGTCCATGGACCCGTTGTTCATAGGCATAGACATCATGCCAGTGCCATACATTTGCGTTGCAGGCCGGCCATTAAAGGAACCCATGGAATTCAGCCCCCCATAGCCTTGCCCATAGCCATTCACTACACCGTACCCAGGCTGGCCGATTGGAGCTCCGAAGCCGGGTCCGTAACTTGTCATCACACTCGACCGCTTGCCAGGCAAGAGGCCCTGACTGTTGACAGCAGTGCTGGGCAACCCTGCTTTAAGCCCATGGCCGCCCGTGCCGTCATTGAAGGCGCCGCCTAGGAACCCACCAGATCGTTCGAGCCCTGACTGGGGGAGTGACGACGGCATCTGCATTCTCATGGCTGCCATCTTGGCGTCCCGGTCTTGGGCGGCGCGTCTTTGTTCCTCGGCTCGGAGGCTCTCCTCCTGTGTTCGTCTGTCTGATTCCCTCTTGGGGTGGGCAGCTAGCACATTGGCAAGGCTGAGTCGCCGTCGAGGTTCCTGGGCTGGCTGGTCGCCCACCGAGTTGCCGTAATTCATCTCTCGCTGCCGAGCTTCGCGTTCTGCCTGCAGGCGTCGGCGGCGTTGTCCTAGGGTCTCGTCTTCACCAGATGCGCCCGCAGCCTGTGTTTCCTTCCCATCACCTTTCTTGCTCTTCGACTCCTTTGTTGCATCCTCTGCATCTCCAAACTGGCTTAGAAGCTCGGATGAAAAAGCGCGGCTTACCGGGCGGGCCATTGGCAGCTCCCCATCCTTGGCTGCAAGTCTGCGACGTCTGTCACCCAGCGTTTCCTCTTCCAACTCCTCCACCTCAGGTTCAGGGCTCGGCACAACTTCCACTCGGGGGGTTGACGATGGGACCTGAAGGGCTTGGGCGGCAGATAAAGACATGACACTGTGGCGTTGGTGCAACACAGGCGGTGGCGCATCTAGTCCATGTAGACGAGCGCGGCGATGGCTCAGAGGTTCGTTGTCCTCTTGTTCTCTGCGCTCCATGAGACCCATGGGTCGATCCAAATCTGCCAAATTCTTGGCCCCACGCTGCATCGCGGCAAGAATGGCCAAAGGCACATCTTCGTCATCGGATCCGTTCTGGTCTAAATTTGCGTCTGGGTCTTCCCAGGCCAGGTTGACTCTCTTATTCTGACGGTTCTTCCTCTGAGCCTCTGCCACCGTGTCCATGTCCAAAAGCGTAGCATACATGCCATTAGGAAGTCCTTTGCCCATGTTTCTCACTCGCTGTTTTTGCTGGTGCTTGCGCAACTGCAGTTCAGCTAGCAGCGTTGTAGGAGGACCGAGGTAGGCATCCTCGGGAGCCGCTGTCTCGTCCCCTTCCTCATCTTCGCCCTCATTGTCACCCTTGTCGACATCAGCTTCGATGGCCCCATCAGCAATGTCAATGCTGCCCGGGGCATTTTGTCCGTCTTGAGATCCATCTGCCTCGGGTGTCGCAACCGGTATGCTGCTGCTGTGCGGCCGTTTCTGTTCGTCGCTATTGTAGCTGGAGTTTCTTTTTCCGAGCCACATCATAGATGATCTCTTCTTCGCCTGGGGTTCTGGGGCGAGCCCGTTCAGAGTAGCAACAGATTGACGAGCCGTATTCTTCTTTGCTTTGCCATATATTTCGGGTCCAAGCTTACCAGCATAGACATGATCTGTAAAAGCACTAACAGGTGCACTGGTAGAGGCGTCAAGAATGCTGTCGAGGGTGGCCATGGCGGAGCCGTCTTTAATCTCCACTTCGTGGGCGACAGACGGAAGATCAAAGAAAGCGCTGGCTCTAAGCTGTGGTGGCAACGTGTCAAGCATGGACGCCTTTGACTTTCGGTTCTCCTTGAGCGCTTTTGACAATCGTTCGGGGCGGCGCAAGGTGTCCGGCACCACACTACATTCTGCCGCTTCCTCTGGCGGCGGAGTGGGTGGCGAGTCTTCGGCGGCTGCGTGCAAAGACTTTGCTTCACCGCCGTCGAAAGGGTCGAATGAGGACAGCGCAGCAAAAGAGTCTCGGTGATTGGCAATGGGGTCCGGTAGCCATGAATCTCGAACCGGAGCCTCCGGTGCGGCAGAAGATATGCCCTTCAGATCGCTAAATGTGGACTGTCGCTGCCGTTTAGGAGATGCTGAGGTGTCTTGGGTAGTAGGAGCGTCCATCATGACGCTGAGAACCTGGGACCTCCTTTGGTTCCTAGTGGCAGCCTTGGGCTTGGAAGACAACTTGGGGGGCAGGTTGAGCATAGCAGGGACGCGCGCAGGATAGTACAGCATTTTCTGGCCACTTGAAGGGTCGATATAGGAGGTTGGGCGAGGCATGGAGATGGGTAGAGGGCGGGGAGTTGGCAAATCCGGCTCTATTTCCGGTGGCACATACAAATCTTCCTCGTTTTGAGGCTCCCAGTGCACACCGTCAAAGTCGATGAACGCATCGCGAGCCTGCTCAGACGTGTTGTTGGAATGGACGCTCCCCGGGCGTTGCTCGTATTGGTACTCTTCTGGACCCAGTGGTGCTGGGGGCAGCGTATGCCTGGGAGCGTGCTGAGAGTCAGGTTGGGGTCCCAGGGTGTCCTCATGCAGCTGATGAAATGCATCGGTGCCGGACGTGCCCACGATGGTTTCCTCTGGCAATTGGAGACTCTCGGCACTCTGCTCTTCGAGGGGCGGGGCGGCGTCGGCCTCGTCAAAGGCTTTTTGGTTCAGAGATATTGGCTCCGACTCGGAGATTTCGGCAAGCGACAACTTGGTGGAGAGAACACTCCGGAGGGACGACTTTCCAGGGCCATGTCTGGAGAGTATTGCATCGTGGGTTGCATCTTGTCTTCCGGACGAGTTACCGGAGCCGGATCGAAGGCGACTCGTGAGCGATGTGTTTGGTGACAAGACGAAGCCAGCAGGGGAATAGCCACCGTGTCTCGCGGCATTATTAGTGGAGACGATTGAGGAGGTCGTGGACAGGTGTCGAGTGAGCTGGCTAGCAGGAGACGTGGTGTTTTCGTCGACCGAGGCCATCGTTGCCAGTGCGAGCTTGGCTGACCGTCTGCTGTCACTTCTCTTCAGCTCGCCATGCAGGTCGCGGATGGCGTCGTCGATGGAACTCGTCATGGACAGCCGCTCAGCAGTGGCTTCGAGCTGGGCTATGTTCCCTGTGGCGGATCCGGATCGGATCAACTTGTCAGGAACCCCGTGGCTCAGGGCAGGCGGGCGGGCTATTGGTTTTGGATGGACCATGCGCGTGTCTGCCCTCACACTTGCGGTGCGAAGCGGACGTGCATCAACAAGATCGGCAGACGAGGTCAGCTCTGCGTCGCGATCGGGGGGCGGCGTTGACTTTGTCATTTGGCTGGCCGAGTCTCGAGGGTCGGCCGGGGACGGGGCCTGGATTGGGTGAGGTCTGGCCGGTGCACTGGGGCTGTGGACGCTGTGGACGCTGTGGACCGAGGATCCGAGAGTAGTAGATGGAGACATCATGGAGGATTGCAAGGCAAAGCCAGAGCCAGAGCCAGAGCCAGAGCCAAAGCAAGAGCCAAACTCAGAGCCAGAGGCAGGACCAGGACTGACGATGATGGCCTCGACGGCTTCGACGCTGGGATCGGGGCGCTTTTGCTGTTGTTCCTGGGCTGCACATGGCACTGAATCAACAACACCAGCAACGGCGCTGGTATGTGCAGGGGCGGGCGAGACGGCAGCCAGGTCTGGCATCTCGGCGGGTGACAGGTCGGCCCTGTGCCCAGTCGGTCCCATGCCAGCGCCAGCGCCACCAGCAGTTGTTGGACCCTTGGTGCTACTCGGTTTGCTGAAGCCAGAGCTGTCGAGAAAAAGACCTAGGGGCGTTGCAGCTCGGTTTGCAACGGGTCGAGCGGGCGGTGATGGCTCCGAGGGGGGACTTGTCGTGGCCGGAGGCGAGATGTGCAATATCGTGTCGTCATGGTTGGTGGTGACGGGGCCAGTCATGGCGACTGATGCTGTTTGCGCCTTGACCGAGTGCCAGGCGTGGGTAGAAGAAGCGGGAAAAACAAGGACGTGACGGCTCGTAGTTCCCGTGCGAGCAGACTTGACGTTATTGTTTGTACCCCAGGATATAAAATTAGTATTATGCGGTGCGTCTGTTGGGAAGTACGAGTACTGTCGTGCGTCTGGTGACAATTGATGCAATGCAAGCCGCAGAGTTGTGGCGTAAGAGATCAGTGTATCTCAACCAGTCTCGTGACGGCCGAGACGTTCACGACACACGCACTCGCAGCTCTCCCAACCGGCAAAAATGTGCTGGGGGGTTGGGAGCACCCGAGGACAATGAGCGAACAACGTCGTGAACAGCAGGTTGGGCGCCAAAAAGCAACAGAAATGATTGTGTAGGATGCGCTTTGATCTGTGATGTTCTGATGTGGTGCGATGCGGTACGATGCGGTGCGACGCGATAAAGATGAGAAAACCAAAATGCCTGCAGAGACAATCCACCTCGATAAGCCAAACAGCAAAAAACGGCGCAAACAACAGTTCACGCCGTCATCAAAACTGCGCAGGCTTCCGAGTTTGTGGTACAGGAGAGAGTGAATGAGGTTGTGACGGGAGAGTCCAAGGCTCCAAGGCTCGAGGTACGAGGTACGAGGTACGAAAATTGCTGAGTGTGCTCGTAATGCTCTGCACGCCGTACACGCAGACTTGTTGGAGTGTTTTCCTCGAATGGGCCGTGCAATGTTACCACAAAACTTTGACCACAGCAAAACTCACCATGTTGGTGCCGTGACCCCAGAAACGGCCGAATGCGGATGCGGCGCGAGACAGCGAAAAGGACAGCCAAAGCAAAAGGCGCCAAGACGTCTGGTAGTGGGACTTGTGAATGGGAACGGCAAGAAAATTGACTGCAGCAAAAGCCCAAAGAAACCAATCTATCATGTCTTTGGTTCCCGTGGCATGTGCGCCTAGGACTGTTACTTTCTCTTCAACCAGTTTGGCCTGTTCAACAGGAACAAAGATCTGGAGGCCTTGGACGAGCAAACATGAGAGCTGATTGGTCGGGTACCTAGGTACTTAGAGCCAAACACTCTGGGCATGCATGTGTACCCCGTACATGTACAGAGGAATTAAGGGGCGACCAGGAGGCCTTCCCGCGGACATTGATGAATTTTTCTCCAAGCATTCCGTGATGCATGCATACATACTCCGTACACATTCATCCATACCATTGTGCATATGGAGTACATGTGCCAATCTGGCCGTATACGAGGCCAAATATGTCGTTATACTTTTGCCCACTATTTATACGCAGTCATGTCTGCTGGGTTCGTATGGGATGGGGCCTCCAATTTGCCAGGGCCAGGAGCCAGGAGCCAGGAACTAGGAGCTTGCGAAAATTTTCGCACGGGAACGAGACGGCTGTGGCTAAAGGCAAAACACCAGGCACACAGGCACGACACATGTTCTTTCAATAAAAAAAAAGTCAATGGATTGGTAGCCACTCGTGCCATGTCCATGTCCATGTTTGTTTGACGCCACGGGAGGGACGGGGAACGGCCGCGTGGTTCCACCCTGCCATGATTGATGTTCCCTGTCTGCTTTGTCGTTTGTCGCCGCCATCCGCTTCCACATCATGTTGGTTTCAATGTTCCATCCCAGCCCAGGCACCATCCCTGACAGAGCCCTATTGTCGCCTTGTCCCTGCCTGAGCTGTACATACGGAGTACTCCGTAGGCACCCATGGTCCATATCAGCCAGCGATTCAACGGCGCTTGGCAGCTATGGATAGCAAGTGTTTGGTACCTGCACTATCTGACCATATTGAGCCGTCATGTCCTATCAACGTATCATTGACCGCGGTCTAGATATGAACTGGCAATATTGTACTACTCCGTACCAAGACAGATGCCGTATCCACGCACAAGAGGTGACAGCGCTGAGCAACAGATAAAGACGACGGCCATAGCACACGGGTTGCGTGTCCAACCAACCCGTCCGTCTCATCTCCTGGGCCTTGTCCTGACATTCAAGCAATGGAGACGTGGCACGATTGAGACGACGCCCTGTTGGTCGTGCGCAAGGCTCAATGTTGGGAGCTTCCGCCAGGCTTAGGATGCAACCAAGGCCTGGATATGGAGTACATTGCTCCTGGATTTGTGCATAATTGGACCATACATACATCGTGGTCGAAATCCGAGACGTCTAACCAAGAAATCCTCAAACCTTAATTGGGGTCCGATTCATAGCGTGTTTTTTTGTTGTCTTGTTGTTCTTTAGGAATCCGAGGTCAACGGATCTGGATGAATCTACGGACCACAACACCAGACACCTAGATCCCAAAATCGACTAACTGGCCAAGTCTTTGAGTGGTCAGTGCTCCCGCCGATTGCTCCAGACCCCAGCGCTAACCGGCACTAAACTTGACATCCAGACATCTAGTTATGTAGTACTAGTAGTACTACTTACATATATCAAGTCTGGTGGTATTGCAACATGAACACACCGAAATTCCCAAGCACTACGAGCCAAGTAGTACACGCCACTAGAGTAGCAGCCACTACCATCCTATGCATCTAAGTAGGAGGGCCAGAAGACATGATATTAGGTGCAGGTGCTCAAGTTTACGGTGGTTGTGGTAAGGGTTAGGGTCAGGGTTAACCTATGACCCCTGCGTGTCAGAGTCACTGACCATGCTGGTTCCTGGCCCGACGTCGGCGACCCGCCATCAATTGATGCCCCTCATTTTCCCGCTCTTTGCCTCAAACGCCATCCTCCTAGTCAACACATGGGAAGTTTTCAGACCAAACCCATTTAATTGACTTGAAGCCATAGCCATCACAAGCCAGTCAATTGCGCAGCTTGTCCACAATGGCCTCCGAGTCTGCTTCCACGTTTCTCTGGGGCGGCCGCTTCAGCAGTACGTCAACCACGATCCCATACAGGCACCCCGCGAGGAGTATCTAGAAGATGCTGACTCATCTCCTGCAGGCGGCCTTGACGACCTGATGATGCAGTTCAACGAGTCCCTTTCCTTCGACAAGGTCCTTTGCCACGCTGATATCCAGGGCTCAATCACCTTTGCCCGCGCTCTGCAGAGGCTCAGCATCATCACCGCAGACGAGCTGGACCAAATCACCACCGGCTTGAAAAAGGTCGGCGAGGAATGGGACAATGGCACTCTCGTCATCAACCCCAAGTCCGACGAGGACATTCACACCATCAACGAGAGGCGACTGGGCGAAATCATCAGCACTCAAGTCGCTGGCAAGCTGCACACTGGCCGATCCCGAAACGAGCAGATTGGCGTGGACATGCGACTCTGGGCCCGCACCCAGCTCGATGATATCTCCGCATCGCTCAAGGAAGCCCTCAAGGTCTTCACGGCAAAGGCCAAGGTCTCATTGCCGGTTCTCATGCCCGGATACACCCACTTGCAGCGCGCGCAGCCGGTCCGCTTCAGCCACTGGCTGCTCTCGCACGCTACCTTTATTTTGGGCGATCTGCAGCGTCTCGGCGGTGTCCAGGAACGGGTTGCCGTCTGCCCTCTTGGCGTGGGTGCCTTGGCCGGCAATCCCTTTGGCATTGATCGCGAATTCATGGCCAAGGATCTTGGCTTCCCTTCCATCCACCCCAACAGCCTGGCTGCCGTTGCAGACCGTGACTTTGTTGTCGATATTTTGCAGTGGGCCAGTTTGTTGATGGTGCACCTGAGCCGACTGAGCGAGGACCTGATTCTCTTCTCCACGGCCGAGTTTGGCTTTGTGCAGGTTGCCGATGCGTATAGCACAGGTAGTTCCTTGATGCCGCAGAAAAAGAACCCCGACAGCTTGGAACTTATTCGCGGCAAGGCGGGCCGTGTTATGGGACAGGTGAGAGCACGCGAGAGACCCCTTGGTGACTTTTTGCACGTTCTGGCTCTAACCGCGAATATAGTCCTCTGGCTTCCTTTCCTCGCTCAAGAGTCTCCCCACCTCGTACAACAAGGACCTCCAAGAATCCGTTGAGCCTCTCATCGATTGCATCAAGACCGTCTCGGACTGCGTCAAGATTACCGCTGGGGTTATTGCCACTCTCGAGATCCGACCTGAGAAGATGAAGGCTGCTCTCACAGCCGACATGCTGGCCACCGATGTTGCCGACTACCTCGTCGTCAAGGGCGTTCCTTTCCGCGAGACTCACCACATTGCTGGCTCCGTGGTTCGTAAGGCGGAAGAGCAGAACGTTTCCATCTCTGAGCTCAGCCTCGAGCACCTCAGAGAGATTACGCCTTTGTTTGAGGCCGATATCAAGGACGTGTTTGACTTTGAGAGGAGCGTCGAGAAACGCACTTCCACAGGTGGGACTAGCAAGGCTTCGGTGCTACAGCAAATCAAGTCTATTGAGGCTGCTGTGAGCAAATAAAGTATCTACCAATGCATTTGAAGGCGTCATGGTTAAATTTAGGCGTTGGGGTGGATGGGATGAGAATAAAAGTCGATGATATACACGTGTCAATGCAATCTCATAAAACGTTCCGTCTCGTCTTGATTGCTACCTTGGTGTGTTTTACAGTGTGAATGCCACAAAACTATGGTTTTAGTTTTGTAAGGGCTATGTATAGAGAGGCTGTCTATATGTATAACAGCTGTGGTTATTACTCTAAAACTATTCTTCCTTCGGTTCTGGCCTTTAAACACGGCGGAGCATGGAACAAGTGCCCTCTCCTCGAACGTAAGAATAGGGCATACAGGATGCCTGAAATATACACAGCCAGGATACTAATCAACATGGGCCACTGAAACTGATCTGGCTTGGAGAAGGCGATTGTAGATGCAAAAGAGAGAAGCTCAAAGAGGTTCTGGAATGCTGCTTCTGCTGTGGAAAACGACCCTCGGTGGGTAGCTTCGACTTCCTATTTTTTTCGAGAATCAGAACCAACGAAATCCTTGAACTTGGACATGATGACTGGTTTTTTTTTACCTCTTGGACTATGCTCTGCGCGCAGAGATCATACCCCCAAAGACCCAGTCGACTGAAGGCCACGCAGATGGCCAAGACTGTTGCGGAGATGAAGGCATTGCTTGCGTGCTTGTTTAGGTCTATCATGTACCAACACACACCGATTGCCAAACATGCCATCTGCCAGTTTAAGCTCCATAATCCACCCCGTATAGGACCGATTCTCCTGATGAGCCGGGGCGCAACCCAGGTGGCGCTTAGTTCGACAATGGTGCTGCCTGTGCGGGCGATGCCTACATGTAAGGGGGTGTAGCCGACCGACATGAGGTATGTGACCATTTGGCCCGAGAAGGAGAGGACTGTGAGATAAAGAAGAGACAGCGAGAAGGAGGGGAGGAAGGCGGGGTGGCGGATGTAGAAGGAGATCGAAGACACAGGCAGGATATTTGAGATGAAGGAGGTGAGGCCCGAGGGCGCTTGTTCATCCTCTCGGGAAGACGACGCAATTTCCTCATCGGCGGAGACTCGTTCGAGGGCCGGAACACTCTTGTATACCTGCGGCTGTGAGAAGCAAAGACGAGATGCAGGGCTCAGACCGACGTACTCTCTCTATGCAGATGTACTCGATGGGAACAGAGACCATGTTCACGCCCAGCACGGTCCAGATGGCGATGATGGTAGACGCCATCGCGACGAGGGACACAACAAACGGCCCGACGAGTTTACATGCGAGGTCAATACGGCGAATTCTCGCATTGATCACTGTCATGCCATACGCTTTTAGCCTTTTTATTCGGCGTTCCAAGGACACAACGTACCTCGTCGCCAATCCTCGTCCCCTTCCGTCATGACAACAACCTAGCCGAATGAGCAACCTCGACGACATTCGAGACAGAAATGAAACTTACCCAGTCCCTCTCAACGGCAATTGTATTCATGGTAGCACACAGCTTCTCGACACACGCCAACGCCACGAGAAGGGCAAACAGGCCATTCACGCCCGTCACACTCAAGGCCCCCATGCGCACCTCGATGAGCCATAACACGCCGCAGCTCCCTGCCACGGCGAGCCTCTGGCCCAGAATCGAGACGCGCACGACGCTGAGTCGATTGCCGCCGTCGATCCATGTGCCGAGCGGGTGCGCGAGGAGCATGGCGGACAAGCTGCGGATCAGAGCGTAGATGGACATGGGCAAAAGCGTCGAGGGGAATATAGATGCGAGGAAGAGCACGGCGCCGAACTCGAAGAGCCGCGAGTTCCACATGGACAGGAAGTGGGATGTGTAGAGCTGCCATTCTATGCGGGTGCGGTTGACCTCTGCGTTGCTGTTGCTGGGCGCGAGAGACTCGCCGTCGTTGGATTGAGGCATTTTTCATAAGAGACCCTTTTGCTTGGAGGAGCTGTCATGGGCGAGCGCCGGAAGATGGTGAGGAACATTGGTCCGAGTATGGGGCGGGAATGAGCCTACAAGTTGTATATAGCTATGCGTTCTGCGGGCGACGGCTGGGAAAAAGTAGTGATTCGACTCGGATGTAATCGATCCGACTTTGTAAATCGAGGGCAAGAACGACTGGCGGCTTATCAGCCGTTGGAGTTGGGAGAGTGGGAACCCTAACCCTGATATTTGTGGCTTGCGGGTGGCATGTGTTGACGATAGGCGAGTCTTTGGTCCGTACTAATAACAGCAACTACTAGCTGAAATAAACAAGAAAAAAGAAACTCAAAAACGTCTTGACAAAAATGAGAAAGGTGTCTCGCAACAGGTATTAATTACGACTGTCTCACACCAGTCCGTGTTTATAAGTGTCTCTGGTGTACTAGATGCGTCATTCTTCATGAGGGTCGAATTCTTGCGGCCGAACTCCGAATGCCCAGCCCAACGTCGAGGTATATACTATATCACGACTCTTCGCCTCACACACCAATAATTCGCATTTTGTTTATTAAGAAAAACCCATGAATTATCCACGTATCAATTCATACACAGCTACGGTTGCGTCGGTGTAGTCCATCAGGCGAACATGTTCTTTTTGAGGAGTTGACGAGTTCCACGACATATTGCATCCTCTGGTCCCAGGAAATGTGTAAAACGCCCAAGTTCTCGAGTGTCTCAACGCCGATGTCAAGGTTACTCTGGAAGAAAACCTCAACGCAGAAAAGTTATTCTGTTACTTCCAACAGAACTCACATTATAAGAGCCTATATAGTTGACGAAAGATCGAGCTTATGGAGGCTCGGCCAGTTATGACGCTGCGACGACAAGTAACACCACCAAGACCACCAAGGCAACATGGAAGTATTTATTCTCCTGGTAGCACCTTGGTAGTCATGGCTAGACTTTCTAACCCTTGGGTCAATGGTGAGGTTATTTGCTAGACTCAGAGGGGAAAACAAGTTCTGTCCGGTGTAGGGTAATTTCTACTACTAATGCCAAGTACGGAGTACATCCGCAGCTATTGCAACAAACCATTGACTATTCCAGAACGGAGTGGACGAGAGAGCCTGGCAATAGATAGCGCATCATATCGCAACATTATACAATGCTCCTTATCGCATTTGGCGAATCGCGTCAGCAACACGCCATGGTTGCATTGTCAACCTTATTCGAGCACGAATACCCGGTGCAATTGTCGGTGAAGATGGCTTGTGGTCGCTCGGCAATGCAAAAAGAGCTGTGGAAGAGGTTACTAGCTCCCGCGGATGGTTCCTGGCTGCATATTTTTGGATGGGGCCTTGGCTTCGATTGGAACGGGGAGAAATTAAGCGCATTGAGCAGTCAAGCTGATCCGAAGCTCGAGAGGCATGCAAGGCCATGCTCCTTGCTGGATTACTAGCTGAATCCAATCCCCTTTAGCTCTCTTGACGAGAACGGAACAAGGTGGTCTCGCTTGTTGCGGCTGCAGAATGCTTGGTTAGACACGAGCGGTGAACCAAAGGGTCGACCGACTGGTGTTGCAGGATCGACGCGAAGATGGATGACCTTGGCCGTACAATATTCTTCTTCCATTCCTGGCCCCAGACTTTGAGTGCATTGTCGAGACAGAAAGCCATTCACGCGGTGGTGACGGGGCGCGGGGAGGCTACAGAAATGATGTCAACAATCGTTACATTCGGGACTTTTAGGCGTTGCCACTGAAACATGGAACTTGGGAAAAGATGATCTTGTGCTCCTTTGAAGCGCACCGCCCTGTCCGGATGTGCATGTAGGACATGCCTTCGAGCTTGTGAATTTGGCGGGCAAAACGGAGCACGGAGTAAGTCACTAGGATAAGTCACTCCTTAGGTACGTACCTTGCTCGTAGCTGAGTGGAAGGAACATTGAAGGCATGAACGAACGGCGAGGCCATGACCCACCAGCCTGGGCAGTTGTACCTGTACTGTGTGAAATGCACATGGTGGTGCCTGAACGTGTCGACGTGGGAACGCTCAGTCCCCGCGGAACACACACGACCTGGCGGGGCACGCAAGTATCTGGCGCAGGGGACACGGGGTCCGTACAGTACGGATTTGTGAGCATCGTGGGCCTTCTTTCAACCTCACCAGTACCATGGTTCGAGACCCCACCAACGGCCACAAGTTTCTTCGCCCCACACGAACAAGCGGAAGACTCACAGGTCCCTTTTATTATTACCATCGTGAAGTGGCCATGTCGCTGATTGCGCACCCAGACGGATTGCCACTGGTTGTATCGGGCACAGCGACCCCTGACCCCTCATTTACATTGTCGAGCATCCTTTTGGCAACGCAATCCCGCCAATGCCAATTTCGATTCTCTCAGGACTCGTAATTCCGACCGAATCTTCCCATCGCTCCATTTTGTTTGCATGCCGTGACGACGACGGCGACAAGTCCAGGGTCGCCGGCTTGCTGTACGCGGATGCGTGCCTGGGTTGCGTGCCTGCCCCCCTCCCATTCCTGTCATTGAGAGCCACAACCACGAAAGCCTTCTCGCACGCAGCCTCCGAATAGTTGCCCAGCATGGCAAGCCTGAACCTGGCCAAGCGCAGCTTCGCCCCGGTGCCGATAGAGACGACTTTTCAATCGAACCGCAAGGGCACCCAACCCGGCGGGCAACCAGGGGGCCCGAACCCGGAGTTGACGCCTGAGCCATCGCCCCGATCCGCCTCGCCGCCGATGCCACAACCGCGACAGCGACGTCGATTTAAACCCCAGCTGATTGAGACATCAAGGAGAACCAGGAGAGTCGGCGACCCGGGCCCGGCTACCAGGCCGACTGATAAAACCGACATTACCCCCTACACCAACCACATTTACGTGGCGAAGCCAAAGCCCAGGAGGAAGCATGGAGAGGCACTAGATGATGAGTCGATTCCATGGATTCCGCCGACCAGGAGAGAATCCGAGGATGAGGGTGTCAAAGAGTATCTGTTAGAAATTGCTGCCAGGGAGGCGGCAAGGCAGATGGAAGAAGCTGCACTTGCCGCGTTCCCCAACAGCAGAGCTCGCGAGGGCGGTGTTGCTCACTTCTACTTTAGAGAGAGTTCGGAGAGCGACAACTCCGCAGAAAACACACCTCAAAACAAGGACAATGGCATGCAGCCCAGGGTTCGGAGGAAGTCGTCAAATCTGGGGCTGAACTGGTGGCATAAGCACATGCAAAGCCATGCAGAGCAATTGGCATATGAGCGGGGTGACGACGAGATGGCGTTTGGTGGTGTGGATGAGGATACCATAATGCGGACAGATTCGGATCTGGACAAGATGGATCTGCCTGTGCCTCCCGATCCATTGTGGACGACGACCAATAGGATCCCTCCCGAGGACAGACGAGATTCCATGGCTGAACTACAAGACCTCAGGGATTCCTTGACACCTCTTTCACGGCCTGATGCTGCTTTTACGATTGGTAACAGGTTTCAACCCGGGGATGCGGCGTACGGCCGGCCGTCCCCAGACCAGAGAGACGTCGGATACAGCCCCTTTCTTCGCCCGGTAGACCGCGGCCCGGATGTCGCATTTGGCCGGCCATTTGGGGCGTTTGGCTTAAAACCGGAGGATCCCAAGCTGCATCTTATGCGCCAAGCCGCGTCGCCTCCGATGCTCGGCAAGGACCTGACTTTTCGGCGATGTCCGTCCCCGAAACAGACCAAGTTGGAGACGGACCACCCGTTCGCAAACCACGACGTTTACAAAGAGCAAAATCGAGATGTCACAGGCCAAGGCGGTCTCTGGAGAGGATTCTGCTGCCGGTCAGAGTCGAATACCGAGTATGTTGTCCCGGCGGAATTCCACGGGGCGAACATGCTCGTTACTCCCTACCCACCGGCTAGCCCCCGGGACGGCGCGGGATTCGACTCGCCGTCAATGAGCGACGAGCCAGAGTCCATGTTCTCGTCGTCCAACTCGTCCGAAAGCTTGAATAATATAAGCCCTACCCGTGCAGAGCATCGTTCTCGAACCAGCCAGTCCAAGGGCCTGCACATGTTGCACGGCCTGGACGACCGGTTACGCCGCGAAAAGGCGCAGGTAGAGCTGGACGAAAAGATTGCCTCCGAGTTCGACGACGAATTCGTCACCCAAGTATACAATTACCTGTCTTTGGGCTATCCGGCCACAGCACGCTACTTTGACGGAGAGCTGTCCAAAATTAGTAGAGTTTCCGTAGAGGAACTCTGCAGGGACGACGAGAGGCAAATGGCCAAGGGTCACATGCTCGAGATGAGCCTGCAGGCGACATCCGAGACCGACCGGTGCCCGAGATGGAAAGCCCTCAGGACATACGTCACGGAATGGGCCCGACAGCATCCGGATCTTGATAACCTCGACCCTCTGGCTTGGGGTGTACGAGAACGACGCGGCAGCTGGGCCATATAAGCGTCTTTTACGTGGCTTCCCCCTTCGCACTACATCGGTGCACGCTATTTATTCTCTTGACACATACACATGCACATACACTAAGCGACATTTTTTCATACACTGCGAGAACATACATGCCATATATTCTTACCTATGCCGATGAAAATCTTACGTCTTGTCACCAAGTGGCACAAGGCACGGCTTGGATTACATTTATTCTACAAAAGCTTAGACAAGGTAGGGGTCTTATCCTGGGATCTTGATTCAGCCGTTAGGTTTACAAAAGACCCGTGTTGGATACTTTTTTTTTTTTTTTTATAACAGAGCGAAAAATCGGATTGAACATGTCTACATTTGTACGGGTGTCCTCCCGAGGAGGTGTCAATATCGGCCTTTTTGGAAACGGTGTCATGTTGGACAGCTAGATGAGAGCCATTGGTCCTCCTGTACGAAGTAGTTTACATCTTGTTCCATAGTTGCGCCAGCCGGTATTCATCAGCGTTACACAGCCCTCGCTCGCAATCATGTGCTCCGGTGGTGCGCGTCACGTCTTGAGAAACAAGCAACTATATGTATCCGGTCATCATTGCAGCCCCGTATCTACAAACCAACGCCGTAAAAAGCCAAAATAGCTTCCCCCGTTGTTCCAAAGGCCACCTCGTCAAACTACCTAAAGAGCCAAAAACAAATGATAGCCAGGCTGTGATTTACATTCCCCCTTCTGTTCTTGGACTCTTTTACTCCTACCCGCCTCCCCCGCCCTTTCTATCCTGTGAAAATATGTCGTCGAGTTTTTTGTTGTTCCTTTTTTTTTTTTTTTTTTTTTTTGTTTTTCGTACCTCGGGTTCTATTTCCTCTTTGAAAATGACTTGACTACTTTTTGCATTTTCGACGGCGGAGCGGCTTCGACGTCACTTTCTTCCTCTTCACCCATTGAATCGTCTACATCTTCGTGGTCAACTTCATCCTCGTCCAATGACTCTTCGGCGACTTCGCTGTCGTCGTCCTCTGCAACGTCCGAGTCCTCCTCTTCGTCTGCTGAGTCTCCGACTCCGTTGGTCATGGGCAAGTCTTCGTTATCTTGGTCGTCGTCGTCGTCGTCGTCGCCACGCCTTCTTCTTGACCTGGCGCCGTTGGCGAGGTCTTTTCTGCCGACGGGGCTCGTTTCACCCTCAACCCAGATTGCGTCTTCCTCTTCCTCATCGGCGTCCTCGCCCTGGTGTAGTAGACCTGCGTTTCGTTGCATCTTGCGTCGGAGATCCATTTGCAAGTCGAGCATGTCGAGTTTGCCTTTGAGGGCCAAGAGACTGTTGAGCCCCTTGGCGCGTTCCGCCAATACCTTTTGTAGGCCGTTCAAGCTGTGGACGACGTCGGGCTGTGATGCGAGCGCGCCGCCGTGTGAGATGAGTGTCCACTGGACCCAGGTCATGAGGTTGCCCGCACGGCCGGGGCGGCGATAGAGCCGGGCGGCGAGCTTGTTGAGCAGGATGCCGGCCAGGGAGCTGTCTATCCTCTCGATCGTGTTTCGAACAGTGGTGATGTCGGTTGTATGCAGGCAGGATTCGAGGAGATCGGTGTCGTCTGTTTTGAGCGCTTGTGTCAAGACAGTCGTGAGCGACTGGTGAGAAGGCGGCACAATGGCTGTCCGTGCGGGCTGCGCTGTCGTGCTGGCTGACACGGATTGCTGGAGTAAAGCTGGGACGTCGATAGTCTCGTTGCCTCGTAACAGCTCTCCGAACGACGGCGATGTCTCCTCCTCCCCGTCAGAGCCTTCCAGCTCGTGGTCGTTTGCTTTTGGGTTCGTGCCGTTAACCTTGGCCACAGCGGCGGCTGCTGCTTTCGGGACAGTCTCTTCGCCATTGGTCTGGTCTTCCTCCGCGTTGTCTTCCAGATCAGAAGTATCCTCTTCGCTGTCAGTATCGGAGGAGATTTCAATAGCCTCTATCTGCGAACTTTGCAAGGCATCGGCTGTGGCCACGACTGTTCGGGATTCGTCAATGGTGGTCTTTGTAGGGATTTTCGCGCTGGGCTTGACAACCGGCGCGGCCAGCTTGGCCGGCACTTTTCGCTTCATCGACATGGGCATTGAAAAATGTGTGTAGAAAGCCGTAATTTCTATTAGGTGCGTGGTGATGTGGTGTGTCTGGTGTTTAGATGGAGAGAGAGTCGACGGGGGGGAAAGAATACATCAAGATGAAATGCAAAACCATGCGGATGCACCAGGTACCAATAGCAGAATGTATTAAGAAAAATGGGAGAATGTAGGAGTGGGAGGTAATACAATGATTAATTTGCCTGTGTGGGAGTGAGGCCGGCAAACGATCAATATCAAGCACCAGCAACAGGAGAAACACGCAGGCTTGGTTGCAAAATTTCACGGGCTGCAACTCTCGACGGGCGAACTTTTTTTTTTTGGCTCGGCGTCTTGCTGGTGGTTGTGTCTCCACATCGACGGCACAGTCCTCCGCGATAAGAGATGACATAAGCGAACCGAATCGATAAGATAGATGAGTCACGTGGTGATTAGATAGAGCTGCAGAGTTGATGCCTCGTAAGGTTTTTGGATGACTCATTCATTTCCTCACTTCCATCGTAGGGGCCCAAAGGGGAGGGCAGGCTGGGGCTAGTATTTCTTGGCCCCCCCTGTTTGCAAACACCTCATCCTTGGTCGGTCTCTCACTGGGACACTCTGTCCTAGTCCAAGTGCCAATTCGGAGGAAGGCAGCACGATGATTGGCTGCATGTATGGAATTAGACCCAGTCGTCGAAAATGAGGTCATGCACAGGGCGTCATCTGGCGCGTGGTGTCATTGGCTGCCACCGGGGCAAATAGGATCCGGCCACAAAATTTTTTTGCACGCGACAGGCCTACCCTACATGTCAGGCCCGTTTTCAAGGCAGACGGCCGTGCGAGATGGTGCGCCACAGATGATTGGAGTTTGCCCCGTTTGAAGGATTATTTTTGGGAAAGCAATGTCCCCTTTAACTGCATTTATAGTTCCGATAGCATCCGTTTAAGTCGTCAGGTTGGAAACGCAGAATGTGGACCCTATTATTTCGGTGAAATCATGGGCAACCTGATTTGCGACAGAGACCTTATAGACTTCTAATATATTTTACATTCGGGAGCAAGGCCGACTATTGTTGTTGAGCTGGATATCGGCAGCAAGCCACGGCTCAAGTCATTCAAGGGTTAAAGTTCAACAGCTTCAATCCAACCAGCCGCGTAAAAAGCTGGACAGCCACCCGAGTTCCGCGGCCAATCAATTATAAGTAGTGGCCTCGATTCCACAGCTGGATTATTTCACTGTTTGATCCAACCCATAGTTGCTAATAGGCTGTGACAGGTGCGAATTTGCTCACGTTAGCTGTAGTCCAGTCATGTGTACAGCCATGCCGGTTGACATAAGGTTATGCCTAGGAGACTCGGGGCCTCCTTCCTTATCTTGCTAGCAGCATTCTAAGACGCAAGGCGCGCAAGCGTGGTCGTCATAGTCGGGTTTTCGAGTCCGGACATTTGCAAGCCAACGCACTTGACCACTCAATCATCAGCGAGACACCTTTCGCCGGCACTCGCTGGCTTCTTCTCAATGTGCGCGCCCCGGCGTCGGCCGAAGCCAGCCTCGAGCAAGCAGAAAGCCAAACAAGACCCTTCCCGGTGTCAAATTCAGAGGGGGAGGTCGACTACTATTTAAATGTCTGCGCAGACCCTCCTTGGACATTTAATGTCCTCTCCTCGGTCTGCCAAACGCTCACGGTCCAATAAATGAGCTCTTCTGACAACCACAGCTCGCATCCTGAGTAGATAGACACCCTTGAAACCCCGCACCCATTACTTTTGCCCTGTTCGTGTCAATGTCTAGTCATCGTGCCTTGGTCATACACGACGTGTCCATGACCAAGTATTATTACACTCTCCCTCATCCACGCAGGAAGAGGACTAGCGCCTTTTCCCAATCGGGCCTCGGGCAGCCCACCAGGTGGCCAGGCTGTGGCGCAAGTGGCTGGAGCTCACCCCCCGAGGCGAATTTTTTCTCCCCAGCCTTTTCCCGGCGCCCCGATAGGCACAAGTCAACGTCCCGGCGGACTTTGCCTTTCTCTCTCATAAATACCTTCGCGCCTCCGACCGGCAAAATTTAACTGACGTGCACGCGCTTTTCCTCGCAGACGCCCCCGTTTCGCCCCCTCCGGCCACCGCGACCCGCTGCACCTGCAAAGGATCCTCCCAGGTACTTCCCAAACAACCTTTTTCCCCGCAACTGCTCCCCTTTTCACAGAGCGCAGCCGGTACCGCTTGCGTACCGCTCCTGTACCCTTTCCCACCTCTGCTCTCCCAGCTCCAGCCGTGGTGTGTAGCAGCTGCACGCACCAGACTCGAGCAACACACCAACCGCATACCACCCACCGCATACGGCGCAGCTCGCAGCTCGCAGCTCACAGCTCACGGCTCTCAGTCGCGACCAACCACCGCCACCTGCCTTCCGTTTCGCTTCCTCGTAAAATAGAAATATTCTGGGGTCGTATTCCATTTGCCCTTTTTGATCTGTTTTATTCCCCCTTTGGCTTGTCGCAGCTTTCGCCGCTAGGTTCTGCCTCCTGATCGCGCCCGACGCCCGCGCATCGTCGCGACACTCACAAACACCATTGTTGTTTGCGCCTCGCGTGCTGCCAACCGTCAACGGCTGTCAACGCTGTCAACTGTGCGAGCGCCACTCTAACCTGCGCCTCTGTATTTATTGCTGCCGTCACCTGTTTGTTTATTTCAGCCAACTTCGCCGTTGCATCGCAACTCTGGTGCCAGCTGCGATACTCGCTACACACTCCTCGCCCTCGGCCAGCCCTCATTGCCACCAAAGCTCCTCGCCACTTGGAGCTATCGCAAAAGCCCTGCGCAGCTATTTAAAGGCGCGTCGCGACCCCAATACTTTGGGTCTGTCGCGCCCCTTCTGGCGCAGAACTCGTGCTATTGCTCTACATCCCATTGCCGCCACCATACATTCCGGACTGAGCAGTCTATC